TTCTAGTAAGGACTGGGGTTTGAAGCCAGACCAGGCAGAAAAGTCCATGAAACTCTTCTCTCCAATTAAGCACCAAAAAACTGGAAGTGGAGCTGTGGCTCAAGTGGTAGAGCACCAGCCTGGTCAAAAAGCCCAGCAAGAGCACGAGGCCCGGAGTTCAAGTCCCAATACCGGCGTGCACACATGCACACACACAGGTGCGCGTGCACACACACCAATGCAGCAGTTGCGGCCCTGTGGGCAGGGGGCAATCCTGGACAGCCGCTATCCCTGCAAACTCTGGTCTCCTAGGTGCAAACCTCCCCGGGTGTGGTGGGCGCGGGCGCGAGCGCGGGGCGCTGGGCTGGCGGTTGGCGGGAGTTCGCGGCCGAGCCCGCGGTGCCCTTCGCGGTGCAGACCGAGCTGGGCCAGCTGGCAGGGGGTGAGGACGCGAGAGCAGAGCGGCCACCCGACCCGGAGGGTGAGTGTCTGCGCGCTCGGCTGAGCGGCGCGGACCGGCGGGGTGCGGCGCTCCGCCACCCGCATGGCAGAGCCGCGGGGCCTCCACGCACCGCTCCCGAGGGTCGCGGGGGCTCCGGGTGCGGGAACCCAGCCGCCGCCGCCGCCGCTGTCCGGAGAGCCCGGCTAGTCTGTAGTTTCCTGGCCCGCGCCGCGGGGTCGCTGACCTCGGGCGGGCGGAGCGGGGAGAGGGCGCCCGGGGCCCCGGGGAGGGGGCTGGGACCGCGGGTCGGCGGGGAGAAGCTCCGGGGTGGGAGGGGAGGGCCCCCTGTGGCCGGCGGGGAGGGGCGGTAGGGAGGGCGGCGATGGGGCTCCAGGGCGGACCAAGATGGTTCCAAGCCCGGACAGGTGCTGGGGGGCCGACGGGGAGGGGGCCGGGGCCGCCGGCACCTCCTCCCTCCCCGCCGCCTCCCTGGGCTAGGGGACGATGACCGGGACGCGCCCGCCGAGCTCCGGACTGGGGCGAAGTCTGGGCGCCGAGTGCGGGAGTGGGGGTGCGGCGTCCCGGGCCGGGGCGCAGGGCCGGGGACCCAGCGAGACGTGTGCACCGGGACTGGCTCGCGGGGCGCGGGCGGCGCGGGGCGTCGGGACGGCGGAGTCCGGAGCCCGGGCAGCTGCTCCGGATGCCGCTGGCGGGGACCTGGGCTGGAATCACTGCCCAAATGAATGACCTAACAGCATCAGTGCTGGATGTGATGAGAGGGGAAACAAAGCTGAAGATATAATGTTTTAAGGAGAATTTTCCTTTTCTCCTGTGAGGAGATTTCAGGTAGTTTTCCTTTCCTTTCTCAATTTTTCTTCAAGGATGATTTAGAAATAAGTATGCTCTTTTCAAGTGGATATTTTGGTTCAGCTATTTATTGTTCTTTCTAGTTTTATTGGATTATAAGCAACAAATATGTACCAAAATTTACAATCTTTTTGTAGAGTTTTCTTTATAAACAGAAAATTTATTTGAGATCAATAAAGTTGTGTATTGATATTGCATCTGGTACAGATGACCTGTGATCCACTGTCTATAGCAGACGAATTTTCTATTCTTATTTTAATCTACTAACAGATATTTGTCATTTAAGGTCAAGTATTTTTGCCTAATAATTTAATTCTTATCTGCTTCGATGTGAGGTTAGTTGTGTCATAATGTGTGTGTGTGTGTGTGTGTTGATCCTGGGGCTTGAACCCAGGGCATGGGCACTGCCCCTACACTTTGTGTTCAAGGCTACCACTTGTGGCTTTTTTGTGGTTCATTTTAGATAAGAGTCTCTTGGGCTTTCCTCCCCAGATGGACTTTGAACTGCAGTCCTCAGATCTCAGCCTCCTGAGGAGCTAGGATTACAGGCATGAGCCACCAGTGCCCTGCATGATGTCAGTTTTTATCATTGTTGGTGACACACCACACCGGTAATTTACTCCCTACTCTTCTCTCAGGCAAATCTATCATAGCCCCTGCTGGCTTGTCCTATTTCAAGTCGAACCACGATCCTTTGAACCTGCAATCAACCATGGAGGTACACGCACAGGTGCATGCCACCACATCTAGCTTACTGTTTGAGATGCGGTCATGCTAACAGTTTTATTTGGCCTGGCCCTGAACTGCGATCCTCCCAATTGCTGCCTCTCCACTAGCTGGGAATACATGCATGAGTCATGTGTCCAACCTCATGTAATGTTTATCAGGCACAAGGAAGGTGGAAGGAGGATGTGAGGAGATGGATAAGAGACTGGGTTGGGAAGGATAATGCATGGCTCCAATCTATGCCTTAGGACCAAGGCCATGAGACTGAATAGCTGGGTCTCATGTTCACAATGAGAAGCAGAAAAAGCTCTTCCCTTTCAAATGGCCTTGTGGCCAGCCCAGCTTTTCTGAAGACACAGCTTCAGATGGACTGGAAGAAATACTGGGGTTTCAACACAGAAACCTTTGTGCTTCAGTTGTGAGACGGGTGTGGGCCACACACTTCATTGACTGCTTCCACACTGTACACAATACAGGAATTCCTGCTTGCAGCTACCTCCCGTTTCCTCTTTATCATTCTAAGTGTGGGCTGAGCTTCACTCTCATTCTAAGAATCAGATGATTCTTTTGATTATAAAGGTGAAATACAGAGGGATTACAGTTACAGGAGTCAGGCTTTGAGTACATTTCTTTCAGCAGTGTCACCCCTTCCCTCAGGTTCTCCGAGTATTTGCCCTCATGACTCCCCTTACCCCCCAAGTGATATAGTTAATTTCTTTTCTTTAGCTTGTATCACAGTCTGAGAAGTAATCTCCAAGGAATTTTTACCTTCTGTTCCCATTGAAATCACTAGAATATAGTGGAGGCCAGAGGTCATCAGGGAAACAGTCTTCATAGTCCAGCTGCAAAAATAAAAGGACAAACTGCTCACTTCAGACTCCTGATTTCAGTGGACTACAATGGCAGCTACAGTGAAAGGCCTGTGAGATCCCTGCCTCACCATCAGGGGCAAGAGGATGTTATCCTTAAACCGTGTCCTGCTTTGCAAAGACCTTGAAGGCTCTAGGGCTCACAGCTCACAGGCAATGTGAGTCACAGGACTCCAGGCAGTCTTTCAATCCCTTTTCTAGCATTGGGAGGCTTACCTCTGCAGGGAATGTTACCATGCAACCTTCTGAGCTCCATCCAGTATCTATGAATATCTGAAACTGAAATGTGCTTCAGAGCTGATGTGCTCAAGGCTGGCCACTATCCTCTGGTGTTACTTAGGAGGCAGAAGGAAGTGAGGTCATGGGGACCCGCCCTGGAAGGGCAGTTGGGACCTTGGCTTCTCCACTGTGCCATTCCTTCTGCTTATTGACCATCACAAGCTCAACAGCCTCCACACAGGCTCAGAGGGGTCCAAGTCACCATGGATGGAAATCCATAAAACCTTGAGCCAAAAGGATCCTTTAGTCCTTTTAGCAGGCTGTTTTGTCACAGCCACAGAAGATGACAAAACTGGTAGTTTTGGCCTGGAGTCTGTGAGCTGCTTTTTCTCTAGAGATCAGAGCTGTTGCTGTGCAATGGGTCTACTTTTTTGTGTGCTACATGTGGAAATAGGTGGCAGAAACAATAGGTTGAGGAGGCTAGCCAGCTGTATCTGCACACGGCTGTCCAGCAGGACTTTCTGTCATGACAGACTTTCTCCAATGTTCTGCAATCCCATAGTCACAGGTGGCTACTGAACACTTGGAATGGAACTGGAGCGTTGGAATGGAGAGTTGGAATATTTACCATTATTGGACTTGAGCAAATTTAGTGTTTATAACCCTGAGAGAAAGGACTTGGATAAAGAATGGGTGGAAGCATTCCTGGGTCATTGTCCACAGAGCCTTTAGTCCAGGGCACAAGAGTATAGGAAATGACTGACTCCTCACTTGCAGTGGACAAGAGTTCTTCCACAAAGCAAAGTGCCACACATTCAGTTTTGTCAGGGTGGACTTATTTCTAATGGAGATCTCCCCAGAGCTGCCATCTTCTCAACACCGTAACATGGACAAGTTGAGAAACACCTGAGGCTCCCTTCCTTGGCCATACTGCTTTGCTTTTCTGTCTTAAAAATGGAAGGCTCCTAAGAATCCCTGGCTATTTCTGAATACACAACAGCTCATTTCAAAGCCCTCTTACCTCCTCTGCCGTTTGACTGAAGAAGTCCTTTACTTCTTCTTCAGTGAGCTTCTTTCTCTTCTCTGCTTCTATGATAAATCCTGTATTGGTAATCTTCATTAACAGATCAAGACAGATATAGATGTGATGTGAGATTCACATGGAACAACAAGTGAAGGATGGTTATGTACAGGCATGAATGTCACCCAGGTTTACATACGTATCATGTAAAGACCCCATCAAATCCCTGGGGAAACTAAGCATGTGGGACATACTTATACTCCAGGCTGCTTAGGAGGCAGAGGTTTTATATGTTCATCATTCTTAGAGTCATTCTTTTTTTTTTTTTTTGTCGGTCGTGGGGCTTGAACTCTGGGCCTGGGCGCTGTCCCTCAGCTCTTCAGCTCGAGGCGAGCGCTCTACCGCTTGAGCTACAGCGCCACTTCCGGTTTTCTGGTGGTTTATTGGAGATAGGAGTCTCACGGTCTCTCCTGCCCGGGCTGGCTTTGAACCGCGATCCTCAGATCTCAGCCTACTGAGTAGCTAGGATTACAGGCGTGAGCCACCAGCGCCCGGCTAGAGTCATTCTTTTGAATGGAATTTCTCCAATTTGACTTGATGAAAATCAGTGTGGGAAATTAACATTTCAAAGGTCATGTTTTCTCTGTGCAGCCTCAGGTGCCACCTCCCTGCTCTGCAGGGCCCAGCGTGAGGCTCTCCCTGAGCGAGGATGAGGTGTGCAGGCCCATCAGTCTTGATGCAGGACTTTATGATGTGAGAAACGGCCTTATTAGTCACTAAGCTCTATCTTTTAACCTGCTAGTTGCCAGTGAGACAAATTTCCTGCACTTCACGTGGACTTCGGTCCAAGGTTGAGTCTAAACTCGGGTTCCAGATTTACAATTTTGTGGCTATGGACATGACCCCGGTCAACATTTCTGTTCCCAGGGAAGTTCCATGCACTTTATCAGTGTTGCGGGTCGAGCTTTCCTGTACTGGCAAAGTCGATTCTGAACTTAGGATACTAATGTGGCTCAACTTGACAGTAAATTCTTCAAAAAGTTTTACAGTCTTAAACTTTAAGTGAAGGAAAATATGCTATAAAAAAAACCTTGAAGAAGTAAAAACTTCATCATTGGACAAAAACACTAGCAAATCTATCCTGTACATGCAGCTCCAACCACTTCTACATGTGTAGGGGTTTGTTGTGCAATAATATTTCTCATAGCAATAACTTTAGCAGTTTTGCACCTTCATGACAGCATCAGTGTCAGCAGTAGTTCCCAAGGGCTTTCTCAGCCTTCCACCCAGACAACTCAGTATTTGAGAGCTGACACAGCCAACAACGCAACTTCTATCACCAGTTATCCTACCTTTCAGATAGAGAAGAATGACTTGAGAAGTGTCACTCTGTTGGAGGCCAAAGGGAAAGTGAAGGATTAGAGCAATATCTAGTGAGAGGATAACTCTAAAAGATGTACTCCAGGAAGGTACTTTTGGTCGTATTTTCCATGGGATTTTAGTAGATGAAAAAGATCCACATAAAGGAAAACAAACATTTGTAAAAACAGTTAAACATCAGGCTTCTGAAATTCAGGTGACAATGATGCTCACAGAGAGCTGCAAGCTGTGAGGTCTTCATCACGGAAACCTTCTTCCTATCTCTCACACGTATATAGAAGAAGGAGAGAAGCCCATGGTGGTACTGCCTTACATGAATTGAGGGAATCTTAAGTAGTTTTTATGGCAGTGCAAATTAGTAGAGGCCAACAATCCTCAGGCAATCTCTCAACAAGACCTGGTAGACATGGCTATTCAGATTGCCTGCGGAATGAGTTACCTGGCCAGAAAGGAAGTGATCCACAAGGACCTGGCTGCCAGGAACTGTGTCATTGATGACACCCTTCAAGTTAAGATCACAGACAATGCCCTCTCCAGAGACTTGTTCCCCATGGACTACCACTGTCTTGGGGACAATGAGAACAGGCCAGTTGGATGGATGGTTCTCAGAGGTCTGGTTGATAATGAGTTCTGTAGTGCTGGCCATGTGTGGGCCTTCTGAGTAACGCTGTGGGAGCTCATGATGCTGGGCCAGACCCCCTACGTGGACATCGACCCCTTTGAGATGGCGGTATACTTGAAAAATGACTACTGGATGGCCCATCCCATCAATTGTCCCAATGAACTATTTGCTGTCATGGCCTATTGCTGGACCTTAGATCCAGAGGAGAGGCCCAAGTTTCAACAGCTAGTCCAGTGTCTCACAGAGTTCCACGCTGCCCTGGGAGCCTACGTCTGACTTCGCAGGGTCCTGTCATGTCAGAAGACAGCCGCAGTGGAGGCTTAGCACATAACGTGGTGCCAGCTGAAGCACATCTGTCTTTAGATGTGCTTTAGAGTCAGAACTTTTTACAGAGAAACTCAATAGTGTGGAGTATTTTCTAAATATCGCTTTTATTAGGTTGAACTGAAAGGGGTTTTATAAATTTTTTGGCCCCAAAAAATTTTAAATGTAATTACTCTGGACTAGAGGTGCATTCTTACAAAATAAAGTTTTAATATTGTTTAGACACATGTATTTGGAATAGCTATCTTAGTGCCAACCACTTTGTATGTCTTTACTTCATTGAGGTAACATAGGTGACTCACCTTTAAAGTTGAAGGTTTTTATCACTACTCTTGGGAATGATTTGTCTTCTAAAATGCAGAACTTTTCTCAGGAAAGAAAAAACAGCTTAAAGTGATCACTTGATTTGCTTTTTGCAAAAAAAAAAAAAAAAAAAATGGAGGAAGAAAACCTAGAGAGAAAATGGCATTTAAAAAAATGCTTATGAGGAACAAACAGACCTTACATGGAAAATTATTTCTTTTGTGTTAGAGAAAATGGAGTTCTGCTTTTTAAGAGGAGCAGGTACTGAGTTTATCACATCTCAAGATTGTTCTAAGAAATTAGCTTTCCTGTGAGCCAGAAGAGGGTCAGATGAGGAGGAAACAGCGGGGCCTTTATTTGTTTTTACTCTCTGGGAAAGGATATGGTGCAGTTCCAGAAAGTGAAATCGTGTTTCTAAGGCTAAGATTCCCTTTTATCGCACCTAGCATCGTCCTATGCACAGAGTGGGTGATTGAGTTTGTTGTGGGTTTTTGTTTTTGTCTTTTTTTAAATGTGTAAACTGGTAAATTTTGTGCTTATCTTCAGGGCTGGCTTAAGTGTAACATTGTTTTATAAAACATTTTAAAAATTAAAGGATTTGTTTTATAGTAAAAAAACAAAACAAAAAACACTTAACTCACAAACTCAAGGCAATGAACCAACCTCTCAGTTCCACAACTGATAGCTAAAGCAGCAATGGAAATAAAAAGAGCAGGCCCCAGGGAAAAGTAATTATACCATGATTCCAAAAAGAGTAGATGAAAACAGGACGTAAGATAATATTTCATGAAATAAGATACTAATTATGAAGTATAGGAATGAAATTAATCGGAAAAAATAATACTTGAGAATAAAACTAGGCAAAAGAGAAAAACAGGAGTAGGGACAGGAATAACATAGAAAGCAGGATGAGAAAGAAGAAGAGAAGCAATAGAGAAGATCCAGATAATGTGAAATAGCAAAAACAATATGACATACAGCATAACAAAATGAAGAACCTTAGGTTGAAAGAGGAAGAAGCAGCAATGTAGTCACAAGCCTCTCAGTTCAAATCCCAAATCAGACAAATAGAAAGAAAGGAAGGAAGGGAGGGAGGAAGGAAGGAAGGAAGGAAGGATGGGAGGGATGGAGGGAGGGAGAAAGCAAGAAAGAGAAAAAGGAGGGAGGGAGGAAAAAAGGAAAGAATGGGGAAGGGAAAGGAAAGAAAGAAAGATAGGAACAAAGCAGGAGAGACAGGAAGGAAGGAAGGAAGGAAGGAAGTTTGGAGGAAAGAAGGAAAGGAAGTAAAGGTAGAAGAAAGGAATGATGGAACAAAGGAGGAAGGAAAGATGAAGGAGGGCCAGAAAGAATGAAAGACACAAAAATCATGTTTTATACTCACAGACCTAGGGCACAAAGAATCAAGCAAGCTGATGTGAGCTTACAATTAGATCCAATTTCTAATTATTAAACAGATATGGTATTTGTTACATTCCAATGTATGGAATAGAATTTTTGTAAGTGATATAGGTTGCTGGTTCAAGCAGTGTTATTTAGTAAGAGTGGCTAGAGTGTGAAGAGAATGCTTAAAGCATTTAGAGGTAGCTAGTATATCACTATATTTGTTTTGTTTTGTTACAAACAATGTTTGTCTCCCAATTATCTGTAAAATTATTGTAATTTCTCAAATAATTGAAAGTATTGCAAGCAAATGTGACTTCCTTTTTTGTTTCTTTAAATTTGCAGAGCTTTTCTGCTATTCACATCATCAGGTTTGATCACAGTAATATTGTACATTTTCCCAGAGGGGGGCTGGAGAAGAGGGACAATAGAATGTCACTGTCTTGGCTCAAAATCATGATAATGAGAGTTATGGTGTTTAGAAATGCCTAGTTTCTTAAGTCTGATGAAATTTGATTGCTGATAGCTTTGTGTCTTCTATGGTATTTGCACTCCCAAAAGTTCTATTTAGAAACAAAGCATGCTTCTTGTATGTACCCAAAGGGTAAGCATCACCAAGTTTTTAGGAAGAAAGCAAAAATACTCCATAGTTCAGCCTGGGTGATCCTGACAAAATTCATGGGCATTGCAATTGCCATTCATGGTTCATGTAGATCAGAATGACCAGGGAGAGAAGTTTCAACCACATCCTCTACAAGATTCAACTGACAAAGTTACCATCTGTGACTTCTCTATCCCTAAGACACACTTCACGGCAAGTAGCTCGCTGAGGGTGGCTATTTGTCTCTGATGTCTTTGCAAATGAACACACATCCACAGGCAAACAAACAGAAACCCAGACATGCAAACAGGCACAGGGAATCCAGTCGGCATAAAATTGTTCACTGTCATCAGAGAGGAAATGATTTTCCTATGGCTTTGGAAATGGATGATGGATGAACTGGAAGTCTACTGTTCCGGTTAGTTGTAAGAGTCATTAGTTCACGGTTTGGGATAACCTTTGAAAACTCCAGACCCAGAGACCAAAGCTGTAAGATGGAGGAACAGAAAACAGTGACTTTCAGAGCTGAGACATGCAAAGAACGAAACATAATCTGAACAGTCTTCGTTGTCTAACATAAGAGGTAACCAGCTGTTTGCAGCTATAAGTCATGCAGTAATGAACACCACTGTACAGGAAAGCCTAGACAATTCTATAAAGATACTAATATGTTCATAATTTCATCCCCTATCATCCTCTTCTTATGTGTCTCAGGGTGCAATTTTGTTATACTGTGAAAGAGAAATGCAAATAAAGTATAAAGTCACATGAATAGAATAATGAAAGTATACTTAGAAATTTTGTTTCTAGTAAATACTCATACCTCAGAAAACACATACAAGGTAAAGGAACAAAATGTCTTTGATGTTTGAGGCTAAAATGTTTCTGAGAAGCACATATTATTCAAACACCCACTTTTTTTGGGGGGCAGGGGTCCAGTCATGGGCCTGAACTCTGGGCCTGGGCACTGTCCCTCAGCGCTTCAGCTCAAGGCTAGCGCTCTACCACTTGAGCCATAGTGCCACTTCCGGCTTTTTTCTTTTTGCTTATGTGGTGCTGAGGAATCGAACTCAGGGCCTCAGGCATGCAAGGTAAGCACTCTACCACTGAGCCACCTTCCCAGCCCCCAAACACCCACTTTGTTATCAGGAGGTATGGTGTGAATGAATGTTCCCCAAAGGCATGTGTAAAATTGAGGTTTGGTGCCCAACCCTGGTGCAAAGAAGAGCTCATGAAGCTTTTAAGAGGTGAAACCCAGTTGGAGGAAGTTATGTCCATATACCATGTGGGGAGGGAGGCAAGGAGGATGTGCACGTGGGCGGGAGGGGGGCCCGGAAGCAAGGAGGCTGCAACAGTGATGTTCACCTCTCTACTCTTTTACCCTTCCTACCTCCCATGAGGTGATGAGCTTAGTTTACCATAAGACACCTACCATCATGTTCTGCTCACCACAGCCCTAAAGCACCCTAGTCAAGAGCCCGTGGACTGAAACCTCTGAAGCCGTAGCCCCAAATACACCTTTCCTCCAGGTGCTTTCTAACAGAGATAAAATATGCCTTAGTGAAATCAAATAAATGCAATCTTTAAAAAACTAAAAAGAGGCGACAATAAACAGCATTACATGACCTGAGGACAAGCCATTCACCATTCATTATTTTCTGCTCTCGGTTGACCAAGCTAATGGCTTTTCTATTAACAAGAGGCGCACTTGCACCCTGAACTTTTGCAATGGTTTTGCCACTCTACAAGAGAGAGAATACGAAAGACTTTATTTTCAGAATAAGTCAGGGATTCATACTGAATCTGGACCATTCACGCTCCCTGCTCCTTATCTTTATGCATCCTCTTCTGGGTGCTGTGATCAGGATAGTAAAGTAAGATGATAATGATGTGAACATTTATAAACCCAGCTCTTTGGTTTCTTCCAGTACCTGTCTTCATTCAACAGAAGGTGTGATTGCATCTCCTAGTACCTCAACGAGAGTCATCACCCTACTGGAACAGTCACGTGACTCACCTTAGTCACCCCTGCTTTAACTCTGAGGATGCAGTCAACATTGACCTGTATTTCAGTGGCACAAAATGACAAACAACTAAAACATAGCCATTTTGTTTATCATCACCTGGCCACATTATCAATGTCAAATTGTGTGGAATAAGGAGACAAAAACCAGATTGAAGGAGTTGAAGGGATGTTATAGGATGGAAAAGACTAGAAAAACTCCTGGAGCAATTTAGCTGCTGTGAGGTGGTAGAGAATGGTTGGCATTTGTACACAAACTTATTATCATGATGTACAGAGTAATGCTAGTTTAAAAACTGAAAAAAACTGAATTATATCCAAATGTCAAAGAGAAGACTCCAGTTAAGGAATAATTAAATGAAAGTGAAAATTCTGATTTCTATCTCTTATTGAAAGTGATTTTCACAAATTCTTAGCTATGAAGGAAAAATGTTAAAGTAAAAAAGTCTTCCTGCTGAAACTTGCTAGAAAAAAAATTTTTGTCTTCTAAGAACCATGACCAATAACAAGGAGCCATTGTGGAGCACTGAAATAAACAATAAACTAGCCGAACACCAGGAAGATGGTACAGTTGCTAGAGGGGGAGACAGGTCAAGGGGAGGGTCCAGATGAATGGAGAGAGGAAGGATGGGAAAACAGTCATAATGCTCAAGGCACATAGGTGAAAATGGAAGCAGGTAACTGTAGGGCACAGGTAGGTTTGAGAGAGATGCGGAGATGATGAAAGGGGTGACACTGATCAAGATATATTGCACCCATAAACTGACATTATAAACCTACCTGAAGAGGTTAAAGAAGAAACATAATAGTCCTTATGACATTGCTCTGAATATTTAAAGTTGCATTTGAAGCATCGAATATGGGAGAAAATACAGAAAAGCGTAAAGAAGAAAAATAATTACACTTCTTTCCCCAGACATACAAAACCCAAACTTCCTCCTCTATTTTTTTGGTCTTTAATATTTTGGTGCCAGTCCTGGGGCTTCAACTCAGAGCCTGATTGCTCAAGGTTAGTGCTCTACCACTTGAGTCACAGCTCTAGTTCTGGCTTCTGGGTGGTTAATCAGAGATAAAAGTCTTAGAGACCTTGCTGCCAAGGGTGGCTCTGAACCTCCATTCTCAGATCTCAGCTCCTAAGTGGCTAGGATTATAGACTTGAGCACTAGTGCCTGGCTAAGCTTCACTTTTGATAAGGGCTTTGGCTCTTTGCTGATTGTCTTCCAGAGGCTCCAGACACCAACTTAGTGGGGTCAGGGTTTTCATGTGGGTACTCCTTTCTAAGCTTAGCTCTAGAAAAATTTCTTGGAAACTAGGATTTCTCATTCTTTCAAAAGAACAAAGAAAGGGGTTGGAAGGACCTAGTCTACAATTCCAAAGTACAAAAGGTAATATTATATTAACAGGTGGTCTGTGCATCATCATTACGATGTTTGTATTATAATCAATGGAGCATTAGGAGTTGAGCAATATAGTAAGTGTGATAAGGTTGATATACTGATTTTTTTGCATATACCCCTCATGCTATGCCATATATATAGCCAGTTAATATAATTATATATTTATGTTCACATATACAGATCACATATAAAGGGAGCCTTCCCTATTCCCTGGATCCACAGGTTCAGCTCAATGAAGAATAGAAAATACTAGAGAAAGGTTTTCTCCTATTCTGAATGTACAGTTTTTCTTTGACATTCTTCTCTTAAAAATGCAATGTACCAACTATTCACTGCATTTGCATTTTATTAGGCATTACCATGATTCACACACACAGGCTATTTGCAAGCCCTATCTCATTTTACACTATATATTCATTCAGCCTTCAATCCACCCAGGACTGCAAGGAGCCACTGAAGCTGTCTTTATGGTTTGATGCTATTCTGTCCAAATGGAGCATAGCAGAAAAATTTATAATGATCGTTTTCAACTCAGGGTGGCTTTTTATGAGATAATCAATAGTGCAGGTTTGCATTTAAATGTTTTCAGAAAGGGCCCCCAATTGTTTGACTAACTGCAGAAAAATAAATATACAGCAGAGGGAGCTCCACGGTTGCTCATAGTAAAGGTGTACAGATTTTAGGGCAATTGGTTGGTTGTGGATGCATTATTGTTTGAATGCAAACACTATGTAAGATAAATGATTCAGGAACACTGCATACGTGATAGTCAACACATAGTAAGTGCAGTGTATAAGACAGGTTTAGGGAATAATGAGCTTGAACTCAAGGTCTTGCGCTCATTAGGTTTCTTCTTCATGGTCTTGTACCATTTGAGCCAGGACTTCAGCCGACTTTCTGCTGCTCATTTTGAAGATGGAGTCTCATGGACTTTCTATTTGGACTGGCCTCCAAATTGCAGTCTTCCAGATCTCAACCTCCAAAGTAGCTAGGATTGCAGGCCTGAATCCCAACACATGGTGCCTTTTAGCCTTGAATAAATGCACCTGGTGAAGTAAATGTTTTGATGCCTAGCATGTCTGAAAATATCTGTATTAAAACTGGCCTTAATTCGACTATGTACATTAATTCTAGGGTTACATCTATTTTCCTTAAGAATTTTGAAGGCAGTGCTTGCTCTGCTCATTTTCAGGTTGCTACAGAGAAATCCAAAGCTGATTCCTGATCCTTCGTATGGGACCTGGCTGTCTTTTTGAGCGTCCTCACTCTGTCACCCTTTGTCCTGAATTTTTGTAATCAGGTGGATTAATATGGACATATTTATTACACTGAGCATTTATTGAACACATTCAGTTTACAAACTCCAACTTTGAGTTATGAGTCGTTCTTTTCCCCTCCCTTGGGAGGGAGGGTGCTTGATCTCATTCCCCTTGGCTGTTTACAGCTGGCACTCTATTATAAGACATGTCTCCAGCCCAGCTTTTTGCTAGTCATTTGATCCTGAGTCTTGAGAATATTTCATTGCTGCTCTGGTACAAAATCCTCCAAACTCAGCCTCCTTAGAAGCTAGGTGTATAGGCATGAGCCACCAAGGAAGTGAGTTCTCTTTCTTGCATTCTTTTTGTTCTACTTTCTGAGAAATTACCTTGGTAATTGTCTTAAGGTTTTCATTTCTAGCACCATGTTTTTAACTCAATTTTTCCTGCGTACTGTTTCATATAGTATTCCATTTTCATTGGAGCCCATCTTCTACCTCTCTCAATATATTAAAACTCGGGCAGAAAGTGGTTGATACACATATATGACATATGCATAGATACCATGTACCGTGTGTCATTAAATGACATAGGTGAATTTCACATACATATACCACCACTCTTACTCTGAGAAGCCTTCTCTGCAGTCACCGGCTGTGGGAGGCCACACTCCTCATATTGCACCAGGGCAGGATATAAAGACCCTTGAACCAGAAACTTCATTCCTTCTGAAAGAGGATGGGACACATCCATCCCAGGGGGCCACACAGAGGCAGGCAGGCACAGGGCAAAGAGGCTTATTAGGGCAGCCATATTTCCCCCAAGAGGGAGCACATGGCCTGGGTCCCCATCCAGGTAGCAGGAGGGTGTGGGGATGGGAAGTGAGGCAGGTGGGAGTTCAGCTGGGTCTGGGCGGAGGGAGGGAGGGGCCAGCGGTATGGAGGGAACTCCAGGGATGGGCGGGGCCCCGGCGTGGGTGGAGCTGAGCCCAGGTGAGCATCGCACTAACACCTTGGTGGCTCTGGCAGAGGCCTCTCAGGGGCTGCTACCCTGACCACGGCTGCAGTTCCAGCCCCAGGACCCGGCCGCCGTGCGCCCAGCCTGCCATCCAAGAACGCCAGGACGCTCAGCACAATCGGGCCGCGCTCAGCTCTCACGGGGAGCGCCACGGTGCACCCGAAAGAGGCCCGTAGAGGAGCAGCGAAGGAGAGGCGTGGAGGGCTCCCGAGGGCCCGAAGAGGACTCCACCCGCTCGGCCTCGGCGGAGCCGCCGAGCTGTGAGCTCTATTTGCGGGCTCCTCAGCGGAAGAGGAGGGGCGATCCCGGGAGGAGCAGGCGAGACTTCCGGTGTGGGGCCTCCGCGGGCTAGAGCTGCTCTTCAGTCCCTGCGACCAGCGGCCTTGGTTAGGACCCAGCGGACGGTCGTGTGGGCCTGGGCGCTGAGGCTTCTCCCTCTCTGGAGGAAAAGGTTGGCCTCCTCCCACCCTCTTCCTGTTCCACTTCCTGCTTCTCTCCCTTCTCTCCTCTCTGCCTTCCTCCTCACCCCTCCCCTCCCTCCCCCCCTCCTCCCCGCCCCCCCTGCCCCTTCCCTTCCTGCCCCCCTTTCCTCTGCTTTCCCCCTCCTCTACTGCCCTCCCTCTTTGCCTCTTCTCCCCCTCCGCCCCACCCCTGCCCTTTATCCATGCCCCTTTCCCCTTCACCCTTTTCTCCTCCCCCTCCTTTCCTTCTTCCCTTCCCCCCTCACCTTCCTCTCCTCCCTGCCCTCTTCTTCCCTCTCTGCCCTCTTTCTTCCTCTCTCCCTATTAAAATAGCCTGCCATTAAATTCTGAGGCCCCCAAATGGTGCTTTTACAAAGAATTAATAGACACTAATCATATTTTAAGATACTTGAACTATAGACTATATGAATAGTTTTGAGAGCAAGAGGACAAGTAAAATCAGCATTCAAAACACAAACAAGAAATCAACACACACATGAAATGGCATCTGTTCATAGCTGTTCATTGATCCACTATCGATCTTTTACTAGCTCAGTTTTCAAAGTTTGTTGTCTTTTTGTAGATAATGCTTTATTAGTGGATTACAGTGGTAGGTCATAAAGGACAAGTATGTCGTGACAGAGTTATACATCAAAAAAGTACTCCTTTACATTTTATTAATCTGTACATTTTTCTTGAACATATTTAGCCAGTATTTTTTTTCTTCTGAGAGGAACATATTGATATCTCTAAATCATGCTTTAATGTCTGACAGAGGTGGGGAACCTTTTTTTTCTCTCAAGCATCATATTTATCATTTGAGGTCCACACAAAACCACTAATGCAGTCAGTCAAGACAGCCAATGAGAAGTATTAAAGGAACGTGCCTACCCTGTACCACATGATTTTGTAGGCTTGAGCACTAGATGCTCCTCACTCCTACCAGGATCACTGGCTGACAAATAGTTTTCGAGCATATTCTGAGTTAACTTAGCATGTTTCATTTATGTTACTGTGCAGAATTTTGACAATTGTTCCCTCTTCTTCAGCAAAATGAACATAATTATTTATGATTTTGGTAAGGATCAGCTTAAACTTCTGTGTCAAATGTCCAAATTGAATTTTTAAAAATCTTTTTCTAGACTTCACATATGTTTTGAAGTAGCCTTTGGTTTATGGTCACATGGTTGTATTTCATATCTAGGCATGAGATTGTAGAAGTCCAAAATTATTTTCTTGTGCAAAATTGGAAGGTAAATAGCTACTTTACGTAACATGTATTTTTTTTCTTTTCTTGAGTTTCTTTTTTAAGAATGGACATCCACAAAAAGTAAAAAAACAAAACAAAACATAAATTTAGTCTGAAAAAAATGACCACACCTCTCTTAATTTCACTTCTAAAGGAAAAGACGGAGGTATGTCTACACTGTTCAGAAAACTGAATAAGTACTTCATTCAGTGTTGTCCAGAAGCTCCTCCTGCCATAGAAGATGCATAGAAGGTCTTGTAGAGAAACTTGAACCGCTTTGTCATGTAATTCTACTTCCACTCACATGCCTGGTAATATGAGCTTCTGTTCTGACTTTTGTGCTACTATTATCAGCAAGAGACTTAATAATTCACTTTTTGTTTATTTGTTTGTTTGTAATGTGGTGATACTAGATCTGGAACTCAGAGCTTTGTGTTCTCTCTTAGCTTTTCCGCTCAAGATGAATACTCTACCACTGGAGTCACAGCTCCACCCCTAGATTTTGGTGATAAGAATCTCAGAGACTATCCTGCCTAGGCTGGCTTTGGACCATGAACCTTAGATCCTAACCTCCTCAATAGATAGGTTTACAGGTGTGAGCCACTAATACCCAGCTAGCCAGTCTTTTTAATCAACTAAATATTGAAAGTATTTGCCAGCGCAAGCATGGTGGTACATGCCTGTAATTCCAGCACTGAAGAAGCAGAGGCAAGACAGTAACAGATTCAAGACCAACTTGGGCTACCTAGCAAGTATCAGGCCAGCTTGGGCTGTATAGTGAGACCCTGTCCCATCAAACCCAAACAACAGAAACAGTTGCCAGGATGCCTTTCCTGGTAGCTTCAACTTTCATGCTTGAATCAGTTTTGTTTTTTGTAGGGGCAAGGGACCCAGCAGAGATATTTGGAATGCAACATTGGTGACACAGATTTATTTTGTGTTGTATGGGAGGCTCTTGGTGATGGATCTATAGGCCTTCCACCTGCAGTGTCGGCTGTTTTGCTAAAAGGTTCTATAGCTTCATAAGAAATACCTAGTCTTCTGCCCTAAACATTAGGACAGTTGCCTTAATTATGTCTTCAAGATTAGTTTCTACTTGCAATATTGAAAACTTGGAAGTAATCCTACTTTATTATCCCACATTATTGGAATAAATTCTGCATCCTTTTCCTACAGCAGCAGGTATCTTACAGGGAAATTTACACTGTTTCTGAATAATGTATGATATGATGATTCCATGTTTTGGGGTTCTTTTATTGAAGTATAAAGAGGTGTTGCACCGTACTGTAGGCAAAATTTACAGATAATGGGTAAAATACAAAGGTTCATCTCTACCCATATTCTTTCAGTACACTAATGACATCACATTTTGTGCAAACCACTGATACTGGAATGTCCTGATTATTTGGAAATGTATCCACAACCGGAAGTGAAACTACACTGTCATCTTCCTTTTTCTCTGACTTGTATTTTGTTTGTTGGTTTGTTTGTTTTCTGAGAAGCAGCAACTTGTGGCTCTACATATTCTTGAGACTCATTCCACTTCTCCATGTCTTTGGGAAGAATTTTCAATTTTTCAACATTTTCTCAAACAACACTTAAACTTGTCTATTCTCTAAAAATAAGTCCAGTGTAGCTGAAGGCCCGGAGTGTATGCAGGCAGTCATAGAGGTTTACAGCTCAAAATCCTAATAATGAGGGGCATATTGGGTCTCTGGGCATTGGGTTGGAGCCCTGGTACATGACAGCTGCCTTAATTCTGGGCATCCAGCAGCAGTGGGAAGTGGCAGCAGGCTGAAGGAAGCAGCAAGAGTTGGCACCTACTAGTGTGCCAGTTCTCCTACAGGCCTCAGGGATGAACCCTCAGCCTAGAGCAGTAAGTATTCTAGCTCCTAAGTAAAGGATGCTGGGATCCTCAGCCCTAGACAGCAACTCATGTTATAGCTCATGGTCCTAGGGTGCCTGAGACCCTGGCCTTAAGGCTTGGCCGCTCTCTGTGGCTCTTGCAGTGACACAGCTCACAGCTTCTCATCTTCTGATTATCACAGCCCTCTGTCTCCACTGCCTTTGCTCCCTGGTCTTTCTTCTTTGGCCACTTTCTCTCTGCAGGTCTTCAGCTATTTCCACTGTTGTCACTGTCGCTGCTGGGCTAGTGGCCTTTACACCTCTGCCGCTGCTGCCACCACTACTCCTGCAGCTATGGCCTTCTCTGCCACTGTAACTGCAGCTTCTGCTATTGCTCTCTCCATGTTACCAGCTCAGCCTGCTCTACTAAGGAGAAAGCAAGATCCCTGGGAAGAAGCCTTCTATTTGGCCTAGTGTTACAACAGCAGGGGGTAGCAAAGGGTAGTGTCTCCCAGCTGACTTGAAAATTCAGCTAAACAACTTAATTTGTACAGCCAGAAGGGGAGTGTGGCCAGGCTGACTGCACCCATCCCAACAGACTTTCATTCAAATGAAGGTGAGGTAGGGGTTCTCCTTGTGTTTGCATAAATCACAGGTCTTCTTGGGCCACCAGGGGAAGTGCACCTGTGGAAGGGAGCCTGGCTTCAGGTTCCTCTAGAATCCACTGGACTTGTGATGGCAAGATTCCCCCCCGCCCCCAGATGTTCTCAAGATCATATTTACATTCTGTTTTTTTTTTCCCCTAGCTTATCACTTCTACATAGACATGCAGGACCTTACTCAGTGTAACCCTTCCTCAGGTGGCTTCACAGAAATGTCCAAAAACAGGCTAATGCATGCTGGATCCTGACTCCCCTGCTTCTGCCTGAGATGCTTCCAAAACTACATCCTCCAGGTACTCTCTCAGAACTATCTCCCTAACATGTTTTCCTCACGGCTTGCACCAGTGCTCATAGTATTTGTTCAGTTCATATTAACATTTGAGTGATGGGCTTGGTTGGTTATGATGTTGTGGGCTGAGAAAATAAAAACCACTAAACATTGTATCCAGTGTATTTCCCAGAATGTTCTGGAGTTGGATGGAGACATGGGATTAGTTCTGGCCACAAGTTTATAAAGCCTTAAGATTACCCATAGAGGGCTGGGAAGGTGGTAGAGTGCTTGCCCTGCATGCATAAGGCCCTGGGCTCGATTCCTCAGCACCACATAAGCAGAAAAAGCCGGATGTGGCACTGTGGCTCAAGTGGTAGAGTGCTAGCCTTGAGCTGAAGATCTGAGGGACAATGCCCAGGCCCAGAGTTCAGGCCCCACGACCAACCAAAAAAAAAAAAGAATTTTCCATAGAGGCAAGAAGCTCGAATTGGAGCTAATGTGTGTAGTTTTATTTTTTTTTAATTAGTGGCTAGTAATTATACAAATGGGTTTCATTGTGTTTTAATTTTTTTGGTCCTGGTATTCATATAGAATAGTAGTACATTAAGAGCATCTTGTTTACTCAGTGTGTTTTCATATTTTCTAAGTTATCACTGGTAGGGTCAAAGCTCCATTAGCAACCTTTCTACAGGAAAGTAGAGGAGAAAGATAAAACTAAATAATTCATATAAAAGTTTCCCAAATCTTTAACCATCCCAGTCTTCCAAATTATTCTGGCAAAGGACCATAAATAGACGTCAACATCTCTGAGACCTCAAATCAAACAATTGTGACATTTCCGTAAAGTAAATTTAGGGAGGCAATACCTTCAATTAAACATGCTGCAATAGAGCAAAATGAGTTTGTAAATAATTTGTTGATTCTGTGAATCAGTAAAGTTCTGAAAGGATTCTGGCTGGCAAAGGATAGCACGAAACTTCAATGAATAGTCCCTACAATAACAATTCTGAGATGCATGTGGTATGGTCTGAATATCAGTGTCGTACAAAGTTTGGAGATTGGACCCTAAAACCCCTCGTGATCAGATTGAGAGCTGGGGCTTTGGGGAAATGTTTAAGTCTTGAGACCCATGAGTGAGACTGGGACCTGTTAATTGGAGAGAAGAGTCTTACGGACTTTCTGTCTTGGGTGGCTTCCAACTTTGATGCTCAGATCTCAACCTCCTGAGAAGTTAGTACTACAGGTGTGGGCCACCAGTGCCTGGTCATAGCTATGTTTTCTTTCTTTCTTTTTAATCTGTCGAGGGGTTTGAACTCTGGGCCTGGACACTGTCCCTCAGCTCTTCAGCTCAAGGTAAGTGCTCTACCACTTCAGCCACAGCACCACTTCCAGTTTTCTGGTGGTTTATTGGAGATAAGAGTCTCACAGACTTTCCTGCCCAGGCTGGCTTTGAACTATGATCCTTAGATCTCAGTCTCCTTACAGGTGTGAGCCACTGGCACCCAGCCATAGCTATTTTCTTATGGTTTAATGCATTTGAATGGGAATTTTCTGTGTTTTGTGACCTAAAGTAACTATTACTATACCCCTAACCTACCACAAAGTCCTTTAGGCTGAAGCAGATGATCACTCAGTACAATGGGATGTTCTTACACACACAAAAAGAGTCAGAACTGAATATAAGATATACTATCACATTCGTGTCATAACATTCCAAGAATTTTGGGGTGTGGAGTTCACATGCTTAATCTCTGCTCTCAAGAACTTGTAGGGTCCTTCTCCCAGACTTCCCCAAAGCTCCTCTGACTCAGCAAGTTATCATCTGTGGATTTTGCCTAACCAACAACCTTTGTCCTGGTACCACAATTCAGCATTTCATTTGGAGGAAACACCCATTCTCCATGTCTTTCACTTAAAGTGCTCACATGCTCAGTCCCTAGAATTTGGCTTGTGACCTAGGCCTTGCCAGTGAGAAGATGACTTTTTTTTTTTTTTTTTTTGAGAAAAGGCTGAGAAGCAGAGGGTAGGGTTGAGATTTAAATGGAAGCCACTGGAAAGGTTTGGATTAGAGAACAGCAGCTGACTTAGAGGTTTAAGGCCAGTCTGGCTGCCGCATGGGGAAAGGTCTAGGAGGACAGCACTTGTTCGCCACGTGAGCTCCTTCCCATAACTTAGCACGCTCCTTCCCCTCTCCACAGCTTAGCATGCTCCCTTCCTAGGCAACACCAGGCCTATGTAGTAAAGGCAGTAAATAATTAGCCTCCAACCCCCTCTACCTTGGGATGGCACTTCTCTGGGGCAACTACCACCATAGAAGGCAACAAGAGCACCTTAGAGTGACCTTCAGGCCTGGGCAGCTGCAGGGCCCCTTACCTACTACTTGGGCAGCAGCCATAATCCTAGTCTGCCATGACGCCCCTGGTCCTCACATCCACACCAGGGTCTCCGCCTCCTAGCCCTTTCTGTCTCCTCAGAAAACCACACCAGGGTCTCCGCCTCCTAGCCCTTTCTGTCTCCTCAGAAAACTCCTACGTTATTTAGGTCACCTCAGACAATAGCCAACACTTCTTCTCACTTCTCCCTTTCCTGGCAATAAACCTTTCTTTGTTCTCTGTCCCTGATGTCTGTGTGGTTTTCTGGCAAAGTATAATATACTCTTCACAGCACTAATGCCCCAGGGGAGAGATGACAGAGATGAGGTAGGAAATGATGGGACCCTGGGTACATGAGGAAAGCCCAGTCAAGGGAATTCTCTGACTACCAGGTGGGAGGAGATACCCATGAGTGAGCAGGTCTTAGGCCTGAGCAGCTGGGAGAACAGCTTTACCCCTGAGATCTTGAATCCAGGGCACAAATAAAGCCCTGTTAGGATTGTGGAGTAGGAGTGGGACTTGAGGGAAGCCCTGCGTGGGGATAAAAATTTAATGTCAAGATACAAAGTCTTGCTTTCTTTCCCAATCGCCAAAAATAAGGAGTGTGTGTATGGGGGGGGGGGGGGGGGGGCGTGTCCTGGGGCTTGGACTCAGGGCCTGAGCACTGTCCTTAAACTTTTTCCTTCCAGGCAAGCATTCTACCACTTTAAGCCACAGCACTACTTCTCCTAGTCAAAAACAAAACAAAACGAAACCCTCCTCTTCCTTAGGTGTCTCCGCCCAAAGAAAGACTGCAGCCAATGAGAACCCGCCTACCGCCCAGTCAGCAACTTGGCTGCTGCCAGGTGGGCAGGTCCGGAGGACAAGTTGCACCTCGACTTGGTGGCTTAGGGTAAGGGGTCCGGGGGATCCGCCAGCTCTTGGGTAAGTGCACCCTGCAGGGAACCGTGCACACTCACAGGGATCGCGCCCGCGGGGCTCGTGCGCGCTCGCGGGACCCGGTACGCTCCCGGGGAGCCGATATGCTCCTGAGGATCCCACAGGCCACCTCGAATCGGGCACGGAGATCGGGCGCGCGCACCGGGACGCGCCCACGGCGGCTTGCACGCTCCCTGGGATCCAGTGCACTGGCAGGGTTCCTGTAAACTCACTGGGGTTAAGCTCTAATGTAGGGACGGGGCGCTCCTAGGGGTCGGATAAACACTTGGGGATCAGTTTTTCTAGCAGAGATCCGTGCGCTTTGCAGGGCAGAGCTGTACGGGTAGGACCAGTGTGCTACTGACAGCATAGGCCCCAAAGCCCTGGCAGCCTTCCTACCAGCTGGGTCCTGTCCCGCCCAGGCCTGACCTTGCTGCCTAACTACTGGCTGAGCACCTGGGAGAAGCCACAGGCCTGATCCAACAGTGAGGGGCTCAATCAAGTACAAAAGAAAGATATATTAACACATTAAGTCTGTACTTTTTTTTTTTTTTTTTCAATTTTGTGGAGGCCCCTGCCTTTCTGGATGCTGTCTGAGCTCAAGACTAGTGTCTATCACTTGGTTTGCAGCACACTTCTGGCTTTTTTCCTGGCTAATTGATCAGAGTCTCACAGACTTTTCAGCCTGAGCTGGCTTTGAAAGGTGGCCTGCAGAGCTCAGCCTCCTGAGTAGTTAGGATTGCAGGCAGATAGGAACACCTGCCTCCGGCTTGTGCAGAATGTTCACATTCCTTGGGCCCCTCTGGTGGGTCTAGCAGTTCCTGTTTTCCTGTATCCCCAGGCTGAGAAGAGCTAGAGTTGCAGCAATAGGGTCCAAGGTTATGACCTGGCCTTCTGGAGTGGGAGGGTAGTCCATAGGAACACATGTGCATTTTCTATAATCATTTTCCTTAATTAGCAGCTCTTCTTAAATATGGGCACATGCTCCAAGTTTAAAGATATTAGAAATGTATTCCGTAGAATAATTGGCTTCATATTAGCATATTATCTCATTTCCTTCCTAGTAAGTGAAGACCCCTTTCAATAAGAGGTAGAAGCTTTTGTAGTGAGGCTAAGGAGGATACTGAGGGTGTGGAGCAAACAGGCTGGGAGCAGAAGGGAGTGGCTGGGAAAGAGTTGGGGAAAGGAATGGCTTTTCTTCCACATAGCAGCTCTGAAAATGAATGCAAAACCAATTTTTATACAATTGTAGTGTTTCCTCGAAGGGGGTGGCTGACCTGTGTAATGACCAGTTGAGTGCCTGAGAAAATGCAGATTCTTAGCCCCTTCTCTACTCAACACAAGACCTTCTGAACTAGGAACCATATTTCGATAAAGCTGGCCTACAAGTGCACTGAAGTTTGGTACTACTGCTGTGCCATCATGGACTGTTTACTTCTGTTCCTTCTCTCTCCTGTGTCTTTTTCTCTCCCCTTTTATCCACTGGATCCTCTGACCCCTGGCTCACGTGTTTGTTTGCTCCTTCCCCCTTCATGTGAAGGGTCCACAGTAGTCCAACATTGTTCTTTTAACATAGTATACTCAGCTAGGCAAAGGAAAAAAGGATGACTATTTCTTACTGCCTTGCCTCCAAGGCAGTAAGATGAGACACTGGCATTTCCAATCGTCAGCTGTGGGAATATTTCATTTCCATGGAGGCCTCATGTTTCCAGCTGTCTTCCCAGAGAAAGATGGACCTCAGGATTTGGGCATCTTCTTTAGGAGGAGATGTAATTGATGTGATAAGGGAAGTTTACTACCATCAGCCTTAGATTAGAAGATCCCAGCCTGAGTACCAGGGGGCTGAGGTGGTGAAGACATCTGGGGAAGATGGGACTGAATAGGAGAGAAAGTGGGGACTCAGGAGAGAGTTAGTATAGGGTTTGGAGCAATGTCAGCAGGAGCCTGAGCTACTGCTTTTGTCCTCACAGGCCCTGAAGGAAGAGATCAAAATGGATGCTGAGGTGAGTCTTTTACCACCATCATAACATGCATGCTGTGTTTGCAGCGCCTCTTCTTTCTCCTTCTAAGGGTATTCCCTTCCCCCTGCAGAGCTCTCAGAAACACCAGCACAAATGTGAAAACATGTGGCCTGTCATCTGCTGATGTACACATGTTTCTGGGTGATAGAGTAGGAATTAGGCCCCTCTGGGTTCTTATCTGTGTCCATTCACCTTCAGTTTGATTCAGACTTTTCCACGACAGCTAATTCTGAAACACCACTCAAGAGCTAGGGGTGGCCCAGGCAACAAGGACCAACCAGTCGTGGACTGGAGCCTCCCCAACAGTGAGGCCACGTAAACCTTGCGTCTTTATGCCTTGGTTATCTCAGGTATTTGCTGTACTGATGGAATGCTGCCTCTGAACAACTATCACCACATGCTTTTTGAGTGACTACTGATGCTTTGTGCATCAGGGTTTGGTCTGTGTCCTGCTCACTACCTTTAGCTCTTTCTTAGCCTCCTTCTCTCCCTTTTCTTAAGTCTGTGTTCCCCAGGTACTTCTTGTCCTACCCATGATCTTGTGCACTCATCTATTTCCACAGCTTTCATTTTAGGCTGTATGTTTCAGGAAGTCCTGAGTGGATCTGTTCAAGCAGGTCTTTCTCCATTTAGCCAGGAGCCAGTTGCTTATCCTTGCTGAATGACTCCATAAGGACTGCAATCTCATGACAGTGCAACCTGGTCTCACTGTGTCACCAGACCAAAGTTGGCTTCTCAGGGAACTCACTCCAACTGGTAGTTAACAAATATTGGATGCCTGCTCTCTCCCTGAGTTCACCAGTCATCAAAATTTGTGTCATTCCACACTATGAGTCGCTCTAAATTCAACTTGGATATGGTAATAAACCATTACAGATATGGCACTTTTGTTCATGGACCACTGCTGACAGTTGTGGCCATGGATACATCTCAACATTGTTTACTTCTGATGTTTCATCTGCCTCCTCTCTTTCTCACTTAATTCCTTGCTTAATCTCCTGTAGCATGCTCTCCCTCCTCTGGCCCTCCCCTCTCCTCCAGCACAGAGGACGCCCTCCTCCAGATTGTTTGCTGCATTTCCCTGTTGTCCATGAACCTCCTCCCATGTGTGTTTATGTTTGTCCCCTTTTCCCCATCCCTATTCCCACCTTGACAAAGACAGTTGTCCTCATGTCTTACATATTTTCCGTTGTATAGCTGTATTTTTCACGAAAATGTTTTTGGTTTTGTGTCAATAACTTTTAATGTGACAAAATAAAACTAGTATCTTCTGTTGTCACAGCCCATGCATATAATCCTATAACATCAGATTGTAGCTACAATTTCCCCAAGGTCCTCATACATGGCAACAACTGTGCTATTTACTGTGCTATTGACATCATTCAATTTTATTAATATCACTTTCCATTTTCCCGTTCAGTGCTGAATATAAGGTGTAACATACAGTTAAGCACTATACAATCCACCAAGTTGTGCTTGTATTTCCTCCTCTCCACAAGCTGCTGAGCAGGATGTTATTGACATCTGTGTTCTGTAGATGAAGAAAGTAAGTGTTACACAAATTTCTGTAAGGAACAAAAGCGGGGTGCTAAGATACAGATGGGGGTGAATACATTTGGTCATGTCCAGATCCATCTAATTCTGTCCATCCAGTTCTCCTGCCATTTCTGCTGGGTGAAGGGTTTTCTCAGAGCCCTCCATCTGGAGGGGACATGGCCCTCTCGTCACTTCCATCATTGTTATTTCTTTACCTTCCCTCACCTTCTGTCCTCTCACTTAAAGCTGAGCCGCCTGCTTGCTTTGTTCCTCAGTGTGTCCCCATGGCCTCTAGCCTGATGCCTCAGATACACGTGGTCCTCATTGAATGTTGATTGACTGAAGGGCCGGACAACTCCCGGACTGTTGAGTAATCCAGTAATCCAGTCCAGGGTTGTAGTAGTCAGTGAAAATGTAGAGGAAGGAAATCACATGGTGGAAATTGTCAAGAAAACTTGCTGACTCACATGCTGGCTGCAGGGCAAAGGACAGAGGATCCTCAGCAATAATCAGCCCTTTGCTCTCAGAGAATGATTGCCTAAGGAATGACTCTGGATGACAAGCATTTCAGGCTGATAGAACTCCTGTGGCAATGAGTCTTTGCACAGAAATTGAGAAGATTGTTAGTTAGGTGGGTGAAAGGCTGGAATTCAGCAGAGCATGAAGGCCTAAACGAGGACAAGACAGCCTGAAGAAATTCCCAGTTTATGTTGTGTCTTGGAACTGGATCTGGTGGAGGGAATGGCTCACAGCTTAAGGTGTTACACTGCAGCCTTTCAGCACAGATGTGGTCATGGCAGCCTGAAGAATGGAGCTCCCCACTCTGGAGTCATGGGAGAGAGAGTGAAGCAAAGAGGCATAACCATTGAGTTTAGGGAGATGTGCTCACCTGTGGGGCAGGATGAGGAAGGAACAAAGTATATGTAAAGAAAACCTCAGCAGCTCGAGGTGAGACAAGATGAGGAAGGAGTGGCTTTAAAGAAGAGCCACTGGAGTGTCCAGTATTTATGAGGTCCGGGAACATGTGGCTGAGGATCTCTGGAATGTGACAGTGGGGTCTGGATGCCCTGTGGACCACATTCCTTGCTGAAGCAGAGCAATATGGAAATGAAAGATTGCATTGGGGTCAGTGGAGTGAGAGGAGACCAAAGTCGAACCCACATGCATGAGGAGTCAGGGTGATTTGGGAGTGAGTTTTGGTTAGGAGATGGTGAGAGACAGATAGTTCCAGAAATGGAGCAGCACATGTCTTCTAGCACATAGGAACTCCAGGGAGGAGAGTCACTAGAAGCACTGCCAGCTCTGGTGTTTTTACCTCTGAGCACCCTTCAGTTATCCACACCTATCTTAATCAGTTGTTTATGTATTTAAATATTTCTAAATGATAAAAGACTTCAAAATACTATGAGGATTAGCCCTCCTCTTTCTCCTACCTCTGTTTTTCAGTTACCCAGTATCTCATGCTCTTCCTGCATTTTGTTCTCCAGTTGTATTAGTTTCTTCTTGGTCAACCTTTCATAGAGATTATAATTATATACACATACGCTTCCCTTTATCCACTTACTTGTGTGTGTGTGTGTGTGTGTGTGTGTGTGTGTGTGTGTGTGTGTGTGTGTGTGTGTGTGTGGTGTTTCCCAGTCCTGGGGCTTGAACTCAGTTCCTGAGTATTGTCACTGTACTTTTGGCTTCAAGACTAGCACTCTGCCACTTGAACCACAGCTCCACATCCACCGTTTTCTTTTGAGGGGTGGAGGAGGTCGGTTAATTGAGGGTGAGAGTTTCACAGATTTTCCTGCCCATGCTGGCTTTGAACCAGTGATCCTCAGATCTCAGCCTTCTGAACAGTAAAGATGTGAGCTACCAGCTGTCTGGCTATGTATAAAGTGTAGCACAGAACTTACACTGTTATGTATCTTTTTGTTTCTCCCCCAACAATGTATATCTTGGAGAGCATTTACTTTCAATGCATAAAGAACCACTGTATTCTTTTGTGTAGTTGTATCATATTCAATTTTATAGATATAACATTGCTTACATAACCACTCTGCTACTAGCAGATTGTTTTTCTCTTTGGCTTCTTATAAACAAGAGTGATATAGATGAAATTTCTTTCCCAGGATAGCTCTGTAGGATTTACTCTCAGAGTATGATTTGCTGGTGCCAAAAGGTAGTTGTAATTTATGGATTGCAGTTTATGCAATTTAATGGTTATTTCTAACTTGCTCTCCCATTGCCTATTTTTCTCTCTATTCATCAGATTTCTGTTACTGTGACAAATTTCTGACAATATCAACTTCACAGAGGAAGAGTTTTAATTTGGCTCATTGTTTCAGAGCTTCCCATCCCAGGTCACTTGTCCTTCTTGTTTGGGGTTTGTGGTGTCCCAGCACATCACAGCAGGGGCCCATGGCAGAGGAGATCTCTTTACCTCATGGCAGCCAGGAAGCAAAGACAGGAAGTTGCTGCTGCCCCAATATCTCTTCCATGGCCACCTCCAGTGTCTTCACTTCAGAGTGCCACTTTAAAGTTCTACAGTGACTCCTCTTTTTTCCCCCAAACATTTCATCTCATAAAGATGCTTTTCTCTAAGTTGGTAGAACATCTGCTCTGAATCCTAACTTTCTTTGAACTCTACTTTTAGGTCTGGAGTGCCAAACACAAGTGTGTTGTAGACCAAGGGGAGGGGAGGAAGTTTACTCTGGGACTGTGATTTACTCTTATGATTGGTCTTTGAATCACATTGTAACCCATTAGGTATGTTCCTTTTCTGCTGTCTCAAAACCATACCTATTTCTTTATTTCTTTAAAACCACATTTTCAAGTCTGCTCCAAACATTATCAAACTAGGTTATTCACATTTCTATTACTGAAACAAATGCCTGAGATAATCAGTCCCTACAGAAAAAGGTGTATTTTGGCTCAAATATGGAGATTCCAGTCAATGGTCAGTTGGCCCTGTTGCCTTTAGGTCTGTGGCAAGGCAGCCCAACACAACAGGATACATGTCTTACAAGAAAGCCCTTCACTCCTGGGCAGAAGGGAGAGGCCAGGGTCCTGCAGTTCTGAAGGCAGATCCCCAATGACCATAAGGCCTCCCACTAGCTCCTGCCTCATAAAGGTTCCCCTGCCTTCCACTATTGCTAACCTGTTGATTCAGAACACCTAAGCTTAACTTGGAGAGACACTTAAGATACAAATTATAGCACCAAGATAAACCATATCCTACATCATAAAACACATATCAGAACTGGGTATTGGTGGCTCACGCTAGCTACTCAGGAGCCTGACAACTGAGGATCTTCATTTGAAGTCCACCTGGACAGAGAAATCTGAGTGACTCTTCAATTTATCAGCTCAAATGGTAGAGAACCAGCCTTAAGTGAAAAAGCCAAGGGAGGGAGAGCATGAAGCCCTATGTTCAAGCCCCAGTACTGGCACACATGCAAAAATAACGTCTCTGCACGTTTAAAAAGATTTAAAACATTGAAAGAATGTTTTCTGACCACATGGAACAAAATAAGAAGTCAGTAATAGGAAAATGCTCAGAATATCTCAAATCTGAACTAAGGCTAGAGCAGTGGACAAAGGAAGAGGGCCAAGTCAGGGGTCACAGATGGTGAGATCACAAAGGTGAAGGAAAGGGACAAGTCTGAGGTGACATTCCTATTTCTGTGCTCAGAAGCATTCAAGCACAACTGGGTTGGAGGCTTATGTGGAAGTCATGCATAGAAATTTAAAGGACATCGAGTTGTTTCATAATTCTAAAATGTGCACTTGCTATTCCCTGTGGTCTATTTCCAGGCAGCCTCCAGCAGTGCTCTTAGGTGATATTTAAGGTGTTACAGTTGAATGGCCATAATGGTGGCTAAAACGTGGAAAGCTATGCTAAGGACTTAAGCCACATGGATCCTGCTTTCCATGTGCTCTTATCTGTCAGCATCGTATACAGCAGCTGTGACCACTGAATAACTGTAAGCTCATCCTATCCTCATGTCCCTGGTAGACTGAGGACAGAGGCCACAGCTCAGGCTGGGTAGCAGGATTTACAGCAGAACACTCCATCATTGGAGAGGTGGCAGTAGGCAGGGAAAGCCAATTGAAGGTAGGTATCTGGCAAGTTTTTCATACAAAGACATAGGCACAGCCCCTTCAGAATGTGTTGGACAGAGCTGACTCACCTCTGAGCCCAGGAGAGTCTTAGTCCAGCCAGGATACAGAGGCTTCCTGTGTTGTAGAATTACAGCTCTTCCTGTTTATCAGGACTCTGACTATCCTTTGTTTCTTGTTGTCCTCTGCTAAATTGCTGTTTACAATCCTAACTTGGTCCCTTATGTTTCAGCCCGTGAGAAAGTTTGGTGTGGTGGTTGTTGGTGTTGGCAGAGCTGGCTCCGTGAGGATAAGGGACTTAAAGAATCCAGAAGGTTCCTCGGCTTACCTGAATCTGATTGGCTTCGTGTCCAGGTGGCATGGACTAGCTTGGTACCCATAATTTGCAGGAAGCATAGTGCAAAATAACACAACAAAACATGGATATCTTCTGACCCAGGGGAGAAAACCACACACAGTTCTTTCCCACAAGGTCTCAGGTTTGGGCAGGTCTTGAAAGTGAAAAGGAGAGGGTCTTGAGCTGGGGTGTACAGCAAATGGGAACCCCAAGAACAGAACAGGGAAGATTAGCCCCAGGTACATCTGCTACAGAAGGGACACAGCAAATACAGGTGGGTTTGGTCTGAAAAAGGCTGGGAGGCATGTGGGAGTTCATTGTTCCATCAGTTTTCAGAGACGGCATCCTCATGGTAACCCTAGGATTCACATACTTCTGTCATTCTGAGTTCTATACTCAGTCAACACCACTAGTCAAAGAGAAAGAAACTGAGCCACAGGAAGGTTAATTAGTTTTTTAGAGATCAAAAAGCTAGAGAACTTAAGAATATAAGACTGAATGATTCCAAAGCTCGTCTTTTAAATATTGTGTATTTTCTTCCCACTGATACTTTTAACCTACTTTTCTCTTCTTCTTCTTTTTTTTTTTGTTAGTCGCAGGGCTTGAACGCTGGGCCTGGGCACTGTCCATCAGCTCTTCAGCTCAAGGCTAGCGCTCTACCACTTAAGCCACAGTGCCACTTCTGGTTTTCTGGTGGTTTATTGGAGATAAGAGTCTCATGGACTTTCCTGCCTGGGCTGGCTTTGAACCGTGATCCTCAGATCTCAGTCTCCTGAGTAGCTAGGATTACAGGCGTGAGCCACTGGCACCTGGCTAAACCCACTTTTCTTTAAAGATTGTTTCCTACAGCTCATAGGAAACCAAGCCTATCACTCTGATTCTTCATTTCCCTAACCTTTCTCATGCACAAACACACATTACTCACCAAACATCATACCAAGCTGATTCTGTGCAGTATTTTTTGCTGGCATTAATTGTCAGCTAGCTGGTGACACTGACTATTGTAGTTATTCACCCTGAAGACTCTTCATATTATAATTCATCAGACCATCTGGTTCCTATGTAAGCATTGAATGTGAGCTTTTAGGCCCCAGAGAGATCTAGAAGTGTTAGAATTGCTCTTTGCCAAGCTTCTTCCTGTAAGACTTCAAGAGCTTCACACACAAGAACACCCTGAGTATGCCTGTCTGAAGCTCTGACAGGATGAGACTCGAGCTCAAGGGCAAAGTGGAATTTCTCTTCTCCCAGCAACCCTGTAGAAAGATGGGTGTTTCATGCCAATGTCTTGTCCCCACACAACTTACACCCTGCTGTTACCACATGGTTCCTCATTACCTACTGGCTAGTTTCTGCTGTCCCTCCAGGAATCCTGTTCTGAAACCCTAGGCTACCATTCTTTGTCTTCTCTGAGTCTTGAACCCCTGCTTCTCAACACAGTCCTCATGTCATCATCTTTCCAGTGTTGGGAAATGTGTTCCTATGTGCAACTTCTTCCCTGTATGTCACTGGAAGGTGATGCTTCTGTTTAATGTTCTTGATATCTTCAACATACAGTGGACACACACTAATCCTAGTCACATCCTGTAGTGAGTTGATGGCCCATGGAAGGAAACATAGCATATTATCTTTGGGGAGCCGACTTCCCCAAATGCCCTCCTCCTGCTGTGGCTGCGATTGGCTGGAGCCTGTGCTGGCTGCCCATGTCCCTTCATTGTCCCTTGAGGCTCTCTGTCATTCAGCCTCAGCACCAGGGCGTGGCACACAGTGCTATGGCTTTTGTTCTCCCGTTACTGGAGCCCTTCTATGCCCTGTGGGAGTCACATGCCCTGGGGTTCTGCCTTGGCCCTGTTCCCCTAAAGCTGTGTCACTCACAGACTCTATGGTGAAGGAGGCAGAGACGCTTGTCCTCTGCTTGACAGTCACCAGGCCTTGAGGTAAGCAAAGGAGCTTGATCTCAGTAGGCATTGGCACACTCAGAGTATTCCTGGCTCTAGATTGTTTGTAACCATGTTTGACTAAGTGCCTGGAACTGGAAACAACCACAAAGACCCCTTCTTGTGACATTAAAGGATACTATTCTTTTTATTTTAGAGAAATAGTAACTCAGAGACTCCCTTGGCTGCTTCTTACCGACACTGGTAGTGTTGGCACCCGAGTCCAGATCCCATGACTTTACCTGAAGTCACAATGGAAAATGCCCTGAATAAGGGAGAGAGAACATTAAGTCCTTCCTTTCCAAAAGCTGGTCTCTGGGTATTGTTGGGAAGAAGGGAGAAGGGTGGCACTCATTTATTGGTGCTTGCTTTTGAGTGCCATTTCTGCACTGTTCTAAAATAGACGGAAACTTGGAAGCATTGCAGAAGTGCAGCAGATTCCCTTGGAAGATGCTCTTTCCAGCCAAGAGGTTGAGGTGGCCTTCATCTGCAGCGAGAGCTCCAGCCATGAGCACTACATCAGGTGGGTTCTTCGTTGTAGGCAGTCTGCCTTGTGAATGGAACAAGCACCGAGCAAGCTAACACCCTGCAAGGGAGTTTTCATGGTTAAAGGAAGGCTTATGTTGTTTTGGAATTTTTAGAAACTGCTGTCAGGCCTGTACTAGGGGGGATGTACATTGTGATGGTGTGTGCTCTTGTGGCTTTCTCCTGGGTCCTGGGCCAACACGCTGAATCTGGGATGCCCAGCCACTATCGCTGCCTAGTTGGTTCTCAGAGCCTGCTCTAGGATCCTTGGGGATTCATTGGGACCACAACAAGGCTGCTTTTTGAGAAGCTCATGTGGCCTGTGGAAAAGGGAGCATGGAGGATGGGGTCTGGAGCCTGTGGAGAGAAGCCTAACAGAAGCATCTCTCATTTTAGAGAGCTAATGTTGTATGTTTGTTTGATCCCCTAAAGCTCCTGAAAAATGGAAGGGAGGGAAGATTACACAGACATTTTCAAAAACTCTTTTGGCTCTTTAGTTGTTCCTCTATGTTGAAATGTTTATATGTCTATAAGGAAATAGGGGTATGGTTGAAATCAGGAAATGTTCCTGCTGCAGAGCAGGAGAAGCACAGTGGTGCATCTCCCCTGGGTGAGCGCACAGCCTCTAACTGTAAGCATTTGGTGGGCCTGGTACAGAGGGAGGAGTACCAGGGAAGACCTGGGCCCAGGTGACTGGACACATCACTGCATCCCTGAGCTGAAGTTTCTGTTCTGGGTTCTCACAGGAAGTCTAGAGACCACTAACATGCTGTTCCTGAAAGACCTTTTAACTCTAAGTGGATAAATTTCCTTTGAGTCCCCTTCAACTTCTCTGGCACAAGGGTAAATTTTCTTGAAAAGGTGATCTGGTTATCCTGGTATTAATAAGTGCCTGCACCCTGGTGTCAAGACAATCACATTCTACTCGTGAGGACAGCATTTTGGGTCTGTCAAAGTATGGTGAACAGAGACGTTACAAGTCCATCTCTCTCGCGCTCTCTGTTCTCCCTAGCCTACCTCCAGCATACCAAAATTTGCAAGTGGCAAAAGCTCACAAAATGCCCAAGAGCATGTTAGGCAAAAGTGAACCTGGAAAATGCCTTCTCCTGCTTCAGGACCTACTTCAAATGTACTAGGATAAACCTGGTCAGACTGTTTCAGAAACAGCTCACTGCCCAGGGGCTCTGTTGTCTTTCTAATACTGAGGAAGAAATAGTTTATTTGAGAATATATGTTTTTCCCAGAGTGACTGTAAAATAGTCTATAACTGAATGACACTGATTGAACATTTGCATTAAAACTGGAGAGGTATTTTCTCAGAGTCGTCAAAAACTCTATGAGCTCAGTCTTCCACCATGTCTCCCAGGACTCTCTCCCACCTGGTTGGTAATATATTCACACACAGACTCATGTGCTTACGATACCCTCTTCCCCATCTTGAGGAGCCCGTGAGTGCTGCTCATTTGAAGGTTCTCTTGCTGTGTTTCTTGTTTTTCCAAGGCAGTTTCTAAGTGCTGGCAAGCATGTCCTTGTGGAATACCCCATGGCGCTGTCATTGGCAGCTGCTCAGGAACTGTGGGACCTGGCTGAGAAGAAAGGTGACGTATGCTCTCTGTCTGCACACAGACCCGCTTATTAAGGCTTTCTGCCCTGAGGAGTTGTGTGACTGCATCTCTATACCATACTTTCAAGCTCAAACCATTTCAGGCATGTTGCTCTTCCTACATAGTGGAGGGACCTGGAGTACACAGGGATTCGTGGAAATGTGTAAACTTTTTTTCTTCCAAGTTTACTTTAGTGTTTTAGAAGTGATATATAATGGGGATACATTCATATACATTCAGAAATAAGTACATATGCTTTTGCATAATGTCATCTGTTCCCTCCTCCTCTTCCATTACCGCCCTCTCCCATCTCCACCCACAAGTTGCATAGTTCACTTTTTTCATCAATGTGCAGCACTCCACTGCTGTATTTTTTCACCCTTTTTCCTCCAATTATCTGCCCTCCCCTCACCCTCCCACAGATGTGAATGTGAATACACCTTATATAAGGTAAAGAATACAGAGTCAACAAAAGAAAAAAATTAAGAAAAAAGTCCTTTGTTTCCATATATTTGGAGTTTGTTTCAATATGTATATCATATACATATGAAGAGGTATTTGGGTATTGCACCTTTGTGATTTTCTCCTGACTATCCTCTTCTGGTCCCACTCTATGTGAGCATATAAAATTCTTTGTATTTTGTAGTCCGTACCTTTCAGATCTAATTTCCACATATCAGGGAGAACATGCACCATTTGTCTCTGATCTTGGCTTATCTAACTTAATATGATTTGTTCTAGTTCCATCCATTTTCTTGCACATGACATTATTTTATTCTTTCTAATGACTGTGTAAAATTCCATTGTAGCTAGGTACCATATTTCTTGGGTCCACTCTTCTATTATGGGGCATCTAGGTTGTTTCCCTATTTTTGCTGTTTTGAATAGTGTGGCAATGAACATGATTGTACAGGTATCCTTATCATATCCTGGCTCATGATGCTTAGAGTAGATGCCTAGGAGTGGTATGGCTGAGTCATAGGGAAGGTCTATGTTTAGTTTTTTAAGGAACCTCCAGACTGCTTTCAAAGTAGTTGCTCTAGTTTACATTTCCACCAGCAGTGCAATAGGGTTCCCTTTCCACCACATCCCCACCAGCATTTTTGTTGTTAAAATTCAAACTGTTGGCCAATCTAACTGGGGAAAGATAATGTTTCAATATTGTTTTGATTTGCAGGAAATGTGTAAACTATGACCGGGACTTAAAAGATTCCTTTTCTCGGGCTGGGAAGGTGGCTCAGTGGTAGAGCGCTTGCCTTGCATGCATGAGGCCCTGGGTTCAATTCCTCAGTACTACATAAGCAGAAAAAAAAAGCTGGAAGTGGTGCTGTGGCTCAAGTGGTAGAGTGCTAGCCTTGAGCTAAAGAGCTGAGGGACAGCGCCCAGGCCTAGAGTTCAGGCCCCACGATCAGACCCCCCCCCAAAAGAAAAAAAAAAAGAAAAAAGATTCCTTTTCTCCACTGAAAAAATTGAATTACTTTCCACCTGAGCTAGTCTCAGGACCCTTTTCTGGTTATATTGCCAATAGAAAAGTGTCCCGATTAGAGTACTTGATTGTCCTTTATGTGCATTTTGTGTGGTTTCTGTTTCACCAAGGTAACAACTATTTAGAAATGTTCACTGTATGTCAAGAATATGAAAAAAAAAATTTTGTCTGTCAGTCATGGGGCTTGAAGTCTGGGCCTAGGCATTGCCTCGCTCTTCAGCTCAAGGCTAGCATTCAACCACTTGAGCCACAGCACCACTTCTGGTTTTCTGGTGGTTTATTGGAGCTAAGAGTCTCATGGACTTTCCTGCCTGGGCTGGCTTTGAACCTTGACCATCAGACCTCAGTCTTCTGAGTAGCTAGGATTACAGGTATGAGCCACCAGCACCCAGCTGAAAACGCTTTTATGCACTGTGCTTAATTCTCAGAGAAACTCTTAAAATAGGTTTTACTTGCTCCTGCTGTAACAGAACTCCTGAATATGGGTAACTTGTGCTCAGTAGTGAAGGCTGGCATTCGAGGATTAACCAGCTGTTTCTATTTAACATGTAGAGAGGGCCTCCTTCTGTCCCATGTACCATGGCAATGTGGAAAGGCCAGCTGACACATTCATAAAGAAAAGGGTGGAACTCCCCCGCAGTAGCCACTTCAATCCTGTGAGGGCTAAAGAAAAGCATTAGTCCATTCTTGGGTGGAAGGGCCCAGATACTTCCCACTGGGCTGCTCTGCCATGTTCAGGACCAGGCAGAAAGAGAGAATAAATCATATCTAAAAATTACATAGCAGTATCTATTTTCTCTAGCTTATATGTAGAAAGCCACAGTTCAGAGAAGTTACATGATTTGTGGCAGATCACATCACACACCAACCATTATAACCATTAACGTCCAACAGACTTTAACATCCACATTTGCTCCCCTAAGCCTGCTGCCCTCCAGCGGGTTTTATATTTATTTAATTCTGCATGAGCCCTTCTATGGAGGCAGCTAGAAAAGAGCAGAATGCCTTGGGATTGAGGTGTTGAGTCAAGTTTAAACCACCAATCCTTTCTCTTTACTATTTTACTAGAGTTTGTCAGCAATTATAACAAAAAATCACAAATAAAGCACCTTGCACTTACCATCAGTGTAGGACTGACAGTGCTTTGTTGAAATTCTTTCTCTAGCAATAAGCTCGGTCTTGGAAGTACTTCCTTCACCTCTGTATTCCCAGAGCTGTACCCTGCCCTACATCAGAGTAGCCTTCAGTAGTTGTTTGTGGAGGGAACACATGACTGAGTGAATACTGGAAGAAGGGGTGGAGCTCAGTAGTTGTCCCCTTGCAAGTTGTTTGCCCTGGCACCAATGCCTGTGGAGAAAGCACAAGATGCCAAACTAGGAAAGAGGCTCAAATTCTTACGCTCTCTCTTCCTGTGGGCACAAGCATCAAGGAAGTCTGACTGCTCTTCACTAGCACACATCTCTTTAATTGACATATTGGGGGAGTAGCTGAATCTGGCATGCTAGAACTCCCAGAGCTGGGCGTCTGGCACATGGGAGGGAGTGATGGGAACATCCTAGACACCTGCCCAGGGCAGTATTTGTTTCTATGCTGCTTCTGACACTTGCACTCAGTGCCTGAATGCTATCCCTGAGCCTTTGTGCTGAAGGCTACTGCTGTACTAGTTTGGTCCACAGCTCCATAAACCCAGTTTTTGGTGGAAAACTGGAGAAAAGAGTCGCACAAACTTTCCTGCCAGGGATGACTTAGAAGTTTGATCCTCAGATTTCAGTCTACAGAGTAGCTAGGATTACAGATGTGAGCCACTGGCACCTGGCAAAGGGCAATATTTGTAAGGGACATATGTCCTGTCCTGTCTGAGGCAGACAAAGCCTCTCAAGATGTGCAACTGTGCACAGTGCTCCTAACTGCCTTGTGTATTCCGTTTTTGTCATGACAGGAAAAGTCTTGCATGAAGAGCACATAGAACTCTTGATGGAGGAATTTGCATTTCTGAAAAGAGAAGTCCTGGGGAAAGAACTGCTCAAAGGGTCCCTTCTCTTCACAGGTCAGTTTTAGTCTGCAGACACATTGAACCCCCAGCTCCTTTCCTTGCCTGTGAAGTTACAGGAACATTGGCTGGATGAACAGCATTTCATGTATTGTACATTGGATCATTCATTGTATGGTAGTCATTCTTTGAGCATGAACAGTAGGAAAGGACACTGATAGAGATACCTGCTCTCGTGGTTGGATGGATGCTCATGTGGATATCAGGAACACCTGAGTGGCTTTTATTAGAGAAAGCAGATCTTTAGGATCCTTGACCTCAATGAGTGGTAAGATCCTTCATCTCCTTAGGAGTTTCAAAACAATGCATTCTCATTGTCCTGATGCTTGAGAATGATGTAGGAGACTTGTGACAAGAAGGATAACAATTGAAGTGTCAGAAACTCACATAATGGTCATGTAAAGTTGGAAATTTCTATCCTCAGTACAGGTAAAGCAATAGAAGCACAGGCATTGAGCTCACACACCAGTCATGTGACAGAACCAGGCTGGAAGTTCACTATGTGGCAGGAGCTGGTAGGAGCTGTTCTGTAACATTTTCAGGGGAGATGAACTACAGGAGATGGTGGGCAGCCTGAAGGGAGCTGATTTTGCTTCTAAGTTTGATGCTTTGTCTAGGTCCCAGTGCTTCCATGAATTTTTATGTGTGTTTATTTAGCACTTTTCTGTGTGTCTGTGCTGGGGCAGGACCTCAGGGTGTGGGTGCTCTCCCTTGGCTTCCCTCAAGGCTAGCACTCCACCACATGCCACAGCTCCACTTCTGGCTTTCTCGTGGTTAACTAAAGATAAGAATGTTTCAGACTTTCCTGACCCAGCTGGCTTCAAACCATGATTCTTAGATCTCATTCTTCCAAATAGCTACAATTATAGACATGCACTGCCAGCTTCCAACTTCTTTTTGTCTTTTCATAGAACATGCTCATTGTCTTAAGTGTTAATATCACAGTCATAATGCAATGGTATGAAGCTTCTCTTTCAGATTTGGGCTAAGGACAGAGGTAAACATTCAGATCATGATCAAGCAGAAATTCTAATAGCTATACTCTTCTGAGTATACTTTTATGAAGACTTAAGGAAACATTTAGCACTCCATCAGCTTGATACTCTTGAACTAGCTGGAAGGTATTACTGTTTGCTCCAGCCTTTTAAAATATCATGATGTGTGCCATTTCACATGGAGCTGATGACAATCTGGGTTTCAGGGGCTAACAGATCATGGTTCTTCTCCTTTTGCCAGATGTTTTTTGGTGGTGATAGGAATTGAGTCAGGACTTCATTCCTGCTACCATGAACCAAACCTCAGCACTTCTTGCTTTTTTGCATTTTGCTGTATTTTGTTTGTTTTTCAGATAAGGTCTTGTACATTTACCTGGTGCCAGCCTCAGCAATCTTCCTGCCCCTGTATCCCTTCCAAGTATCTGGAACCCAAGAGCCTTATTTTTTTTTGGATAGAATCACACTAACTTTTCCCAGGTCAGCCTGGGCAAAAGTCTCCATGTCCCTTATCTGGTGTTACAGGTTTGCACCACTATGCCTGACTGTGGGTGACTTTAAATCATTTATTGAAGAGAACGGATATGTGTATATGTGCATATGTGGTGACATATGCCCATGTAAATATACCTAAAAGCATACTAAAAGCCTAAAACTCTTTATCATTCTCTTTGGTTGAACTGAGTGCTGTTGGCAGTAGCATGTCTCATTTTACTATTAAAACTGAATAACTCCTAAAAGGGAGTTGCTTTTGTGAGTCAACATTTAGCTATCTGGCAAGGCAAGGTCCCTCTGTCCATGCGCTCTCCCATGGACTCTGTGCCCTGCCTTTTGTCAGGCATTCTCTTCTTCCTAGTCCTCAACAACATTTGTGATTGCCCACAGCTGGCCCACTGGAAGAAGAGCAGTTTGGCTTTCCTGCATTTAGTGGCATCTCTCGCCTGACGTGGCTGGTATCCCTCTTTGGTGAGCTTTCTCTGGTGTCTGCCACTTTGGAAGAGCAAAAGGAGAAGCAGTATATGAAAATGACTGTGCATCTGGAGACCAAGGACAAATGGTAAGTTGTGAAAAACCTGATGAAAAGGAGACTTTGGGATGTATCAGTTGTTCACAAGGGTGACAACAGAGAAACCCCAAGTGGCACAAACAGGTGTTCACTGCAGTAGAACTGTCAGCTTCCAAAGACTAGAAATTAGTCCCAATCTTGCTGCCTTCATTGTCCAGTAAGTGAATAGTTGCTTACAGAATTGAAGCATGTTGCCAAAGTCATGTGAGTCCCTAATAGAAGCTTTACTGTATACTTATTTATTTGTGTACTCATTTTACAGATGGGCTTCTCTCTGCTTTTCCCAGGAGGGTCCTGATCCGTTTGGCTCAAGTGATCCTCCTGCCTCAGTCTCCCCAATAACTGGGACTCCAGGCCTGCACCCTGTTCCCAGCTCCTTTATGTAGCTTTACTGATGAGGAAATGGAGGTGTGAGGAACATCTTGACATTCTGCAACCCCTCAAATCTGAAGACATGATAAACATTCTGAGATAGACCAGACTGTTTATATTACCTAAAGTTTGTTTATATCCAATGCCTCTTAGCTATCCTAGCTAAGAGAATGCAGTCCTGGCTTCTGATGGTGCCTTGGAGGAGCATGTTGGCATGTTTCCAGTTATTTTCTCTCTCCCTCCAGCTTATCCCATTCTGCTAGAATGAGATATTTTAGCTCAAACATGGCATGTGTCAGGAGCTTATCATCACACATTAAGAGTTACTGATAACTGTTGTCTTAGGACAGAATTCCTTAAGTTACCTTCAGACAGTGTAGTTGAGTGAATGAGAACACAGGGTGATCATGAAAGTTGCCCATCAAATGCCTAGAAAAGCCAGGTTTGTCCCTTCAATCCCTGCTGTACAAATGCAGTATTAGGCAATGCTTCATGAGTAGCATGGCCTGGCCTTTTACAAGCATTTTCTCACTCAGTCTTTATACTGACTGAGTGAGACTTAGACTCAGAAGTGAAGAAACTTCCGAAGGATGCTGTTAGACTTTCCTTGTCTGTAACAAATAACTGAGAAAAGTTGTTTCAATAAGGAAAGGCATGCTTTGGCTCCCTTCTGGCCTCTTCAGTCCAGGCTTGGTTGTGATAGGTTTGTGGTGAGTCAGACATCATGGCATCAAGAGTGAGCAGTAGCATCCCTCATACAGCCAAAGAAGACTGCACAGTATAGGAAGGGGCAGGACAGACACACCCCCAGAGACCTATTGCACTAGGCCCCCACTCCTAAGCTTACAACGCCTCCCCAACTAGGTCCACAAGCAAAGGACCAGTGCTATTTCCTATTCACCCACTAGTTGATATAGGGCTCTGCAGTCCTCATTCAGGTTGCCTTTCTGTAGCCCCCACGCTGTGTGCATTCTCCCCAGCCATGCCAGAAGCACACAAAACAACTATGAACCCCACATGATACTGTCTGCAATTCCTCACAGTCCTCAGTTAGCAGCTGGGAATGTGTCACCTACCCCAGATCTCAAGGGAGTCAGAGTTTCAAACTCTAGTTCCTCCTAATTTACTGGATGTTTTTTAAATTGTGTAAAAGTATGCATTCAGATTTTGTTCAAGCCAAACTTATGCTGATATCCAGGATCTTAAGTAGTGACAAAAACACTTGTATTTAGGTCCTCAGGGTGCTGTGGGAGGAGGATTGCAGCCCTGTGCCATGCCTGGTTCTTCAGTACTTGCTCAAAAATTGCCACCTCCACAGTGCATACAGACAGGTGCTGACACAGGTGTGGAAGTGGCTGGACAGCTTCCTGCAAAGAGGATAAAGAAATGTCAGTGCTCTGTTGAGCGAATGTTTGCATCTGTAAATATTCATGAGTGATGTCAAAGAGGAGCCCCTTCAGTGAGCCCCGGCCTGGCTCCGTTGGACTGGGTGGCATCAGTTGCTGTACACACTCAGAACATGAATGGACCAGGCCCTTCCTTTAGGTCAGAATTTACCTAGGAAAACATTCTCACTTTTATACAGGCACACATCACAGCTCTTCCCTGCTATCTGGAGAGAAACAACCCAGAAAAAGGGAGTCACACTTTGAAGAAGTGATGTTCATCTTACTTTGATTTTCAGGAGCTCTGATGTGGACTCCAGTGGGTATCTGAATGGAAACAGAGGAGTCTCCTTTTGACCCAATAGTTTGTGTTTTCTGGCATGACTGGGTTGAGTCTTGAGAATGTGATGAGAAGAATACTAAGAATTTTCCTCATGAAATGTTTACACTGAACTAGAAGCTTGATAGAAGTGCAGTTGGTATTTGGATTGCCTGTTTTCCAAGTCTAAACCCTCTGGAAGGATCAGAAAAACTCCAGATAAAAAGTCCTGACTAGCCAGTACTGGTGGCTTGCTTCTGTAATTCTTGGTATTCAAGAGGCTGAGCTCTGAGGACACTATATTAAAAAAGAAGCACCAGCAGGCAGTCCATGAGACTATTATATCTAAATGAATACCAAAAAAGACATTCACAGTTGCGGCTCAAATGGTAGAACACTAGCCTAACCTTTAGCACATAGGGTCAGGGACCTGAGTTCAAGCCCCAGAACCATCACAAATGAAAAGGCATGAATGAGAAACTTGCTTCCACAAAAGTTATTGAGTAGATTCTGCTATTCTGGGCCAAATAAATCAAGAGCAGATGGCAGTAAAGATGGAAACACAGTCCCCAATGGCTTGTGGAGTGGTGGACATCTGGAGCCAATGAGCCAATGTGTTGAGCCACAGCTGCAAGAAAGTTGGGTGCACAGTGAGGCCATGTCTACAGAAGATGGGCAAGCTTCCCCACCTGCTCCCTACCGTGTGCTGTTTAAAATGAGGATTCTCTTGTCTTTTTGCAGTCCGCTATCTTGGATTGAGGAGAAAGGGCCTGGCTTCCAAAGAAACAGATACTTAAGCTTCCATTTCAAATCTGGATCTCTGGAAAATATACCAAATGTAGGTGTCAACAAGAACATTTTCCTAAAAGATCAAGATCTGTTTGTGCAGAAGCTCTTGGGCCAGGTCTCTGAGAAGGAACTGGCTGCAGAAAGGAAGCGTGTCCTACACTGCCTGGCTCTGGCAGACGCCGTCCAGAGGTGCTGCCGTGCTGAGAAGTAGGAGAGGAAGTGGTGGGCACCACCAGCACCAGATCACAGTGGGATGTTCTCAGCTGCTTGCCTCCATTCTTACCATTAAACATGTTGGAGAAAGAGGATATGTGTGCCATTACAAGCTGTAGGAATGAGATTTGGGGATGAACCCTGGGGTGGAGACAAGGAAAGTACTTACTATGGTGGAGCTCAATTGATTGTGCCATACTCCTCCTTCCATTTTTTATTCCACACCACCCTGGGAGGTGGATGGTTGTTATATTACCTTTTGGAAATTAAAAAGGATTAAGTCTATAATGTTATAACATGAAAAGAAAAGGTACATCAAATCATTTGTCAAAGGCCTGGATTCTACCTGCAGCCCTCACACAGTGGTCACTTCGTCAGGCCAGGCAGGAGGAGGCAGGCATTATGTCATCAAGATAGAGTGCAGGATCAGCACCATGGTTGGCAGGACCAGTAGCATGGTCCTAGTGATGGCAGTGGACACCATGTTGCCTCAGTGCTTCTGTTGGGTGGCTTTGGAGCAGGAAGCCCTGGACTCCATTTCCCATAAAACCCCCCCCATGGCTCCAAGTTGGGCTGAATGCATACACCTCCGTGGCCCTACATGCGTGAACAACGCCAGTGAATATAATTCACCATCATCAGAGCTTTGGGCAATGACTGTGACATCTTGAGCAAGGGAGATGGTGCATGTGGGAAAAGATAGCATACAGGGAAGGAGAACCCAGGAATCTAGAGGCAGAAGGATGCCAAGGGTTTCCCTCCCCTGCCCAAATTGCCCACGGTGGAAACACTCGTCCACTTCCCTGTTCCTTGAAAAGTGAAGGCCTCCCATCCCCACATTTCTCCACATCACCAAATCCAGGTCCAGGCTCCAGCCCTCTCCACCTACTCTCCCCATGCTCCATGGCACCAGAATGATCTCAGCCCTAGGATCTCAGTTGCGTTCATTCCCCTCCACTAGCATGATCGCTGGGTGTACTTTCCACTTCTGCCTCGGTGAACATGGTGCAGAAATCACTGGCTCTCCATGCCCTCACCCCTCATTCCATCAGCCCATTGAATGATTGCAGAGAATGGCCTCAAATCCTCTTGGACCCCAAGCTGCCACATGTTCCCACTCTCCAGAAGAGTGGAGAGCTGAGGATACAGGACACTGAACAAACAGCCCATTCTTTTCAGCTTCCCACCTTTCACCCATCCTCTCATTAGCACACAAACATTGTGGCAGGCAGAGCTGAATTCAGCATCTCGCTCTAATGCATGCATGTGAGGACCCATATGGATGCACATTGATGCGTGCTACTGTGTCTGTGTGGATGAATGTATGTCCATATGGTGTCCATGAATGTATGTGAGGTCATGCATATACCTCTCTCAATAGGTATGTTGAACATTGGAGTCTCATGCTTAGGCTTCCAAATAGAGAAGACCTCGTCTGTGTCTACTCTTGTGAAATTCTCACCCCATGTGAAGCTCAGATCTTGCATTTCCTTTTTGTTTCTTTTGTTCATTGTTGGCTTGCATGGATTTGAGACAGAATCTCTTGCCTGGGTCAGACTAGCCTTGAACTTGGTATCCTCCTCCCAGAAGCTCCCACTGCAGGAATAAGAGGCCTAGACAAGGACAACTGGTTGGCAGTTTATTCTCTGTCTAGACACAATGTGTAGGGGCTGAATGTCTGCAAGAGTGCAGTGAAAATGACGGACACCAGCGGTAGGGTTCCCAAGCCTTGGATGGACACAGAGTCCTTTCAGTGTATGATATCCTCAAGCAGGTGCTGGGTGGAAGCCCTAGGAGTGAGTGGGTGACTGGAGGAGGCAGGCAAGCACAGGCACTTGTACATGGGGAGACAAACTGGAAGGAGGGATCTGGTGTGAACCCAGTAAGTGGTCCTCATTACCACGACATTAACTGGACAGAGGACAGAGGTTGGTTGGTTATGTGGAGTGTGCCTAGTTTTGCTTCTGACCTGTCACGGGGCCCAGCCAGCACCCAGGGGCCATTTTGCAGAGGTCTGGTCTGAGGCTGAGGCTCAGAAAAGGGGACCTCCATTGGTGCTGTCATCTCCGGAGATGATGTCAAAAGGGCCAGGTTACCAGCACCCACATTGCTGTGCAGCTGAGCCAGCTCAGTTGTATGGAAAGCAGAGGGGCAGCAGGATGTTTTCCTGCTGTTGCCTGCTATTCCGCAGAACAACTCCACAGAGAGAGTTTGATTATAGTTCACAGGCGCTGGGTAATCCCCTGTCTGGGTCGCTTGAGCAGAAGTCCACCATGCATCCCACAGGTGAATCAAGGAGGAGGGAGAGTGAGTCCTCTCACCTACTACCTTCTGGCAGCCTCAGATCCCATATGTGGGTATATTCATGAGTGTGTGTGTGTGTGTGTTGCATGTGTGTGCACGCGTGCGCGCCCAGCACAGGCTGTTTTCATGGTATGGCCCCAATCCTTTTCCCAGTGTGCTGCTGTTTCCATGTTTGAACTGTGTCTTATTTCTTCACCCCAGTTTGGGTGGGTTTTAGCCCCAACTGATCCTGATCCCTGCAAGGCAGGATATCTGCAGGGAGGCAAAGTGGAGAAGGTAGTCGACCACTTAGTGCCTGCCCTGCTCTTCAGGAATGCCTTGTTTATCCCAGTATTTCTGGGGACATACCTCACTTTCACGACTGCCCATCACGTATTGAACCTGCTGTTCAATAGGTAAGCGCCCTCTCTGATCCTTGGATCGAGCCCATTGACTAGGCCTTGGCATGTGCTGCACCAATGCAGATCTGCTTGGATCCTGGCTACTGGCATGCTAGGACCAACATCCTCGCTGCCTGAGGCTGGAGTGGTGGGATGGGCCCTGAACAGGCCTGTCCACATCATGACCTTACACCCCGGGGAGCGCAGGGCTGTGGGCAGAGCTGGGAGAAGCCCCTTCTCTCATGAAGGCCCCCTTCTCTACATCGAGGCCTCACATGGCTGAGACCCCAATCAAAGCATTTTCCAAATTGACAGTAGTGGTTGATGTCCCATATGGGTGTCCTGACCTACGTGAACCTCACTAGGAAGCACAAGGGAAACCCTGACAGACCCTATGCTAATTCCGGTATGTGGGAAGAAGGTAGTGGGCTCATTACCTTGCATTTCTAGACACTTGGAACCACTCAGTGAAAAGAACAGGGAAATCATTGTTATCCTGAGTTCTATCCTGTGCCCAGAGAGACCACTGGGACTGTAGACTTCACATGTAGACACAGTGCATGTGACATTCTCATGATGACCCCTAGGTACAGCCGTTTCCTTGATTATGAGGAGAAGGCAGGTGTGCAGGAGCACCTGCAGCAGTGAGTGTGTCTGGGGGAGGAGGGAAGGCATGTGTCTTCATGGTGGGTGCAGTGGAGAGCTGGCCTTGGGGAGGCCTGGGCAAAGGGAAATAGCAGCCACTCCTAAAGGAATGCTCAAGTCCAGGTAGAAATGTGTCCACACAGGGAGTTAGTTTGGCTTGTTCTGTACTTGAGAGTGTGGGAGAAGCCTCTGGCACTGTGACCAGCCAGTTCCATGTGCCTGCCCTGGGAAACCTCAGGACCACACAGAGCAGCGAGGCCTACACTGTGCCGTCATGGACAATCCTCTAGGATTCTGTGAGTGCATAAGGGCCAGGGTGTGCTGTTTTGGTTGAGAGTCAGGCAAAGACCAGTCACACATGGCTCTAGGACATTGAGGCTTCTAAAGACTGCATGAGTGAGGACATTCTGGGTTCTGGGGACAAGGCTGACAGTTTGAGGAGCATGCCCAGGGACACCAGGAGCTGTGTGTGGGTGGGGGGTTTTACCTGTAATGTAGGTGGAGTAGCATCCCTTGTGTAGACAATGTCTGCAGTGCAGCCAGGTTACCAGGCCTGCCATGGGGTATAGGCAGGAGTAGGCCCAGGAGCCCAGCTCCCACACCTGTGCTTGAGGGGGGTCTGAGAGGAGGCGAGGCCCAACCTCTGATTCTGCTGCTTCTCCCACTACATCTAGAGCCTTCTTTCATATTGGGCTCATGGATGAGGGAGTACCCAGAGGATTTCACTGAAGCACTGGACATATCTGCCTGCAACACATGGTAATATATCTAAACTACATTGTGCCTGGCTCTGTGGAGGAGCAGCAGGCCCACACATGCATCCCAAGCAGCTAGAGCTGGAGGGTGAGTAGCATGGGCTGGCAAAGGAGAGAACAGGTGTGGGATTCCAAGCTTTGTCCACCTGAAGGCAGCTCCCATGCTACCATGGGGCCATCAACAGGACAGCCAGGGAACCTGGATGCCTTGGCATGAAACCTGTCCTGGCAGGGCTTCCTGGGGTGGAGTCCAGGGACTAGGGCTTCTCAGCAGGCAGGGGTCTCGTGGCCCTAGGAATGACTGAGGGGAAGGCAGTGCTGTAGGGGATCTTTTCTTGCAGCTGTTCCACCAGCTGCCAGGCTTGATGAGAAAACCAGTGTACAAAAGAGTCACCTGAACCACTGGATCCAACACTCTGCATAGAAACAGGGCTACCATGACAGAGCTGGAACTAGCTGCAGCCTCAGAGGCCCCCTTAGCTCCAGAACCTGCAGTGGAGCTCCAGTGAGAACCCAAGGCAGACGGATGTTCTGACTCACCTGCACCATCTTTGACTGAAGAGATGAAGCCACCCGCAGGGAAGCCAATGGCCCACAGCCTTCCACCATCAACAGCATCAAGAATGGATCTTGACCTGCAATATGCAGATCCTCTCTCAGGTGAAAAAACAGTGGCTGCTCCCCCATTGCCAGCGGCACTGAGCCCAGTTGCTCCAATAGCTTTAGAGCCAGCAATTGATGTGCCAGTGCATGCAAGAGAAGAGGGGATGTCAGTGCCCACTCCAGAGCCCCAATGGCCTGAAGACCAGACTGACCCAATTCTGCCACCTACCCAAGAACGAGAAGCATCTGCAGTTCAACCAGAGGCCCCAAAGCCCACTGCAGGGAACAGCTCAGGGCCAGAGCTAGAGGCTGCAGGAGAGGAAAGATGGGAGTCTGCTCTCCTTGCACCTGGGGAGCAAGTGGAGTCTTGCCCGCTTCCTGGAGAGGCTGACTGCCTTGAGCCTGTTGCTGAGCAGCCAGAGCCACCCGTACAGAAGCCTCTGCCACCCAGCCGGGATGTAGCACCCATCCCATCTGTGCAGCTGGATGCTGATGCAGGCTTAGGAGGGGACTCTCATCCAATTAATGACTTGGATGAAGACCATGAGCTGCCAGTGGCTGAAGACACCAAGGGTACTCTGCCCTGTGCTGCCGAGCCAGAGCCTGCACACCTGCCATCTAGCAAGGCAGACAAGCCAGCTGTTATGCACCCAGATCCCTGGGACTGTTGTGACATGGGAGATTTGCAGATTTCCTCCAGGGAGCCAGCCTTGATTTCAATGATGGAGTCAGACCATGATGAGGAGACAGCTCACATGCTAGAGCGGTTGCCCGACCTGAAGGTGAAGCAGTTGTCCCTCATGGCGGTGGTGAGTAGCTTGGCAGGGCGGGCATGCGGGCTTTCCTTTGCACCTCTACTGCCACACCTGCCTCAGGGCAGAGTCACGCTGACCCTTTGTTTCTTCTCTGCAGAAGCTGTTCAAAGGGCTGATCCCTGAGCAATGCTTGAGCTATATATATTATCAACCGGACCACGAGGAGGGTCTGGAGCACCTGGCACCCACTGTGCTGGCCATCCTGGAGCACTGTGAAAAATTGCACACCTGTGTGATCAGCACATGCCTCGGGGACCACAGCACAGAGGCAGCAGAGAGGGCCCAGGTGTTGGAGCACTGGATAGACGTAGCTTTGGTATGCGCAGGAGGCGGCCCCATACCCTTCTGCTCTTTCCCACACTCACCAGGTGCTGCCTGCCCACTCACAGCCACTGCCTGAACCCTCAAGCCCTCCTTGTGCTCTGCCCTGGCTTGCACTGTGTGCACTCCTGCTCTGCTTCCACTGCCATTCCACCCTCTCCCCTATGCTCTCCGCATTCAGCCCAGGAACAAAGGCTCAGCCCCAGGGCCAAAGCAGGACCACAAGGAGCTCCCTCCACAGCTCACCTCACCCCTTCCTCACCCTTAGGAGAGCCACCTTCTGAAGAATAGCTGCACCCTCGTTCCCATCATGTGTACTCTGCAGAGCAGCCAGCTCCAAGGCCTGAAGAAGACGTGGGGGTTGGTTGGCAGGTGGGTGCACCTTTGTCCTGGGCAACCCTTGCTTCCTCAGGAGGCAAGCTTGGGTGCCTGAGGAGGTTGGAGGAAGTGATAGGATTGGGGATGTCCACTTTCCTGTCAAGCTTCCTCCTGAGTGTGGCCTGTGATGAGGCTGCCTCTCTACAACCTGCCTGCCTGGCACCGCCAAGCCAGGCCCTGGCTTGGTTTCTGTGTGGCCTTCCCATCCCAGGAGGAAAGTCTTGCCAGTCACGTGGGTCAGCGGGTTCCTCCAGACCAGGCAGCCACAGAAACATCTTTTAGGGCACTCAAATGTCCACATCCACCCTGGAGACAGGCCCTGCCAGGCTCTCTAGCCTGCCCAGGGCTACAGTGCTGATGGTCACAAGGAGCCTGAGATCTAAAGGCCCAAGCCAAAGCTGTCACACCCCATGGAAAGAAGGGACTCTGGAGGATTGAATGGTTAGAGAATGAAAGCCTTTTACTCCCATGCTCAATGCTGCCAGAGGCAAGAGCCCAAACACATGACCCTCTGGAAGAAACTCAAAAGAGAGGCCTCAGGAAGCCTCAGCAACTGGTGAGTAGTGTGCGAGCCTGAGTCCAGGGGTTTCCTAGAAGGAGGAGTTGAGGGGCTTCCCACAACACAACTGACCAGTTGGCCCACTCCCTTATTGCCCCAGATGGCATGTTGCAGGAATGCATTGCAGCCACCACAGTAAGGAATGCAAGAGCACAGGAACAGGTGAAGGGCAGGGCCACAGACCTTGCATGGGTGTCAAGTGTCAGCCCTGGAGGGGACCAGGCCAGATGGATTTCCCCACTCAGGCCTGTGTCTTTGGTATGGGGTAGAGGGTGGATCATTGAGGAGTGAACCTGTCTTCTCCAAGTTCTGCTAGGCAGATGGCTCCATGGGGCTGGGGTAAGTCTGGGGACCTTGGGAAGACCTTAACAGGACTCTTCTGATCTTTCTGCACCCAATGCCACAGGAGTATCCCGAGGGCACAGTCCCTTACCTGGGCACCATCCTCACTCACCTGGCCTCACTGCACAAAGACAAACATTCAAAAGATGTGAGTGAACAGGGGCCCAGCCCTGGGAAAGCAGAGTGGGGACAAAGAGCCTCTTGCTGCCCCTTGACCTCCAGCAAGAGCCCATGTCCTCCCCAGCCCCAGAGTCCCACAGCAATGCTACTTCTGATGCCCCATGCCGCCAGACCTCAGTGCTGCTGATGACATTTGGCCATGTCTCAGAGGGAGGTCAGTGAGGGTGGCAGTGTGACAGCAGGTGCTCAAGCTGACATAGCATGTGGGAATAGCATGGCCTTGTCACTAGAAGCCTCAAGTCTCTGCCACGTGCACAGAGAGTTGAGCAGTGAGCTCCCTGTCCTCAGGACCTAGGCCTCCCTGCCCTAGACTGAGAGCAATCCTAGTCCAGCTGTGCAGTCAGCCTGCCCTCTGCTGGACAGACTTGGTGGATAAGGCAGCCTTCGGTTTTCAAGCAGCATTTTCTTAGCACATTGATTCTTTGCCTTGCAAGGTTCTTGGCTGAATATGAAAAGACGACAAGAGGTGAGAAATGGCACCTTCCACTGCAGGTGGCCGGCTCTGCAGGTCCTTTGCCTCTGAAGATGGCCACATTGAGTCCTGACGATGGGAGATGGGGCCCTGAGCCAGGGATCTAGGATAGCTTCCTGGGGGTGGACACCTGATCTCAGTAGAGACATGAGCAGAGTGTGTGAGAGAGACCCAAAGTCAGCTGCCTGGCCTACCCTGCACTCCTCCAGGCCCATCACCCTTCTGTCCTCTCTCTCAACCAGGAATACAAGGTGATTGCACTCATGAAGAAACTGCAGGGCTCATGTGAGGAGCTCCACGTGGTTCCTGACATGAACTTCATGTCTTGGTTCAACAATATCAAGCGCCTAAGTGAATCGGAAAGGTGAGCTGGGGTAGACAGTGAAGGCAACAAACATGGGGATCCCCAGTGCCAGCCCCTGAGAGCTTGTACCCTGAGTCAGGCTCCCCCTGAGACCTGCTGAAGGCAGGGTGCTTGGGCTTCTGAGTCCCCAGGAGCCCTGGGAGGGAGCCCCAGTGTGGAGCCTGCTGTTTTCACAGCCACTTCCTTGTCTTAGCTCCAAGCTCTCCAGGGAGCTGGAGCCTCCCCGCAGGGCAGGCTTCCTGAGCTGGAACAACAAGAGGAGCCCTCCCCTGAGGAAGCCCTCCAGAAAGTAAGTACATAGGCTTGCAGGGCCAGGGACTCCCCAGGGACTGGGTGGTGGGACAGGCAGCCCAATGAGCTGGGGCTGCCCTCCCACCTCCTGCCACACAGCCCCTTGTGTCTGGCTGGTGTGGCCTGAGCTCTGCCCACCTCACTTTCTTCATTGGGGTCCCACGGTGGACCTCACTCAGAAGATTGGGCAAATGGCTACTTGGATGTGAGCAGAATAAGGAAGGCCGCCTCAGGCCTAGGGGCAGTGGGTGTGGACAGCCCTGTGTGCTCAGAGAAGCCCTGGAATTAAGGCAGTCCCTCCATTCAGTTCCCAGGCGTCAAGCAGAGAGCTCAGCAGCAATAGCAGCTCCCAGTTGGAGACCTGTGAGCAGCTCAGCAGTGGGAGTGGCAGCCACACACCCAGCATGCACTGGGGCTGCTCACCCAAGCCTTGTGCACACTGCAACCCATTATATCAGTCTGCCCCAAACATCTGCGGGGCAAACACGAGGACAGAAGATGAGGGCATCTTGCCATTCCTGAGCCCCCAGACCTCCCGGAGAGCTGGGCATGGGGCTCTATCCTAGGCTACCCTTTCTTCAGCCAAGATGCCTGCACTCCAATCATGGAAAATCACATTCTCCAGTGCATCATGGGAATGCATTGCACAATGTGCCAAGTTGCAAATGTCATGGATTACCCATTGGGGAGGGTGGGTGGGTGGGTGATTTAGGTTAAGATACTAAGTTGAAACACTAAGTCCATTCAAACCATTTCTATCCAAGAGCAAATTTTTGTGGGTGCTTTTCTTTGGGTTAGTTACTGGTATAGACTTGCACATATCCTATTTGAAGATGAAATCCTTTCAGGCTTGGAGGTCCTTTCTGCAGAATAAGGAGAGCAGGCACCTAGCACATGTCAGGCATGTTGAAGCAAACACACATGCATCTTATGCAAAACCTGAGTTCAAGGTAATGCTCATAGCCCTTGCCTCACAACATCTGAGACTATGGTTTTAGGTGTTCTCATGGACCATTCCACAAGCCTTGAAATCTGAGTGTCGAAACGTCTCCTTTGCAACAGCCATTATCTCTGTGGGAAGCTGCTGGCTGGCTTCTTCTTTGCAGGCAGGGAATCCACCCTCAATCTGTTGGGAGGAACTGGAGTCACCATGCACAACTGCAGGACTCTTGAGGGGAAAAAGTGAGGCCACACCAGACCCAGGGCAGTGCTCCAGGGAGGGAGACCCTGAGCTGCAAGAAGAGCTAAACTCAGACTGAGGGCGGCAGTGGCAGTGTCGTGGGGTGGTAGTGGGTGGTCCCGCGGCCAAGCAGAGTCTGCTGTGACCATGGCTAGAGTCAAAGCCAGGAAGGACAGTGGGAAGGCCAAGGCTAAGGCAGTGTCGCGCTCACAGAGAGCTGGTCTACAGTTTTCTGTGGGCTGCATCCACAGACACTTGAAGACTCGAACCACAAGCCATGGACAGATGGGTGCCGCTGCTGCCGTGTACAGTGCTGCAATTCTGGAGTACCTTACTGCTGAGGTCCTGGAACTGGCAGGAAATGCTTCCAAGGATCTCAAAGTAAAGCATATCCCTCCCCATCACTTGTATTGACGAAGAGCTGGATTCTCTTATCAAGGCTACCATAGCTGGGGGTGGTGATCCCTCACATCCACAAATCTCTAATTGGAAAGAAGGGACAGCAGAAAACTGCTTAGAGGGTTGTATAACCCTTTTCCTTCCCATCACTGTACTGTAACTGGGACAGACGAAAACAATGAAAATGTATGGAATTTTTTTAAATAGTTAAATAGAAAAGCATAGAAAATTACTGAAGGCATGACAGAAAAAACATTTGTACATTTTTAGACTCAAAGTTTGATAAAAGAACCTTTTCACATCGTGATAGTTGTGTAGATTGGCCAGCTTTCTTCCATGTGTTTTATACCAAAATGGAATTGATAAACCATTTTCTACAAAACTAATTTGTGTCCAAACTGTTCTGTTCATGATGTATTAGAAATATTTTTCTCAGACTTGAAATATTTTGTCTCAAGTTAGATCCTCAAAATAATCCTGAAACTGAAATGAGGAAACTAGCTTTATTCAGCATGACTGATATCATGTGAATGTTCAGTCTTTGGTGCTATTACTTTGTAGTTACTTAATTGCATATCTCTAATAACTGAACTAATGCCATCAATTAGGAGTTATCTCTCCATTTAGATTATGGGAAAATGTGCATTTAATACTGAACTGGGGAAATGGAATTACTGGAATCATTTACTGAGCATTTAGCATGTGCCAAACCCTGAGCTAAGTACTTTGCTGATCAAGAAATATTATTAATTACCTTGCTTTATGGACCTGGACCCCAGGCTCATGGAAATTAAATGATCTGCCAAAACCCGGGGAGCCTAGGGGGTGGGAAACAGCAGAGCTAGGACAGATGCTTGCATTGACTCCAAAGTCTACAACTTCTCTGCTTTGAGCTTCCCATGGTATTCTTGTATTGATACAATATGTCTTTCATTTATTATCTTTTAAAAAATGGAATATTTCTTTGTCAATTTCTAAGTAACTTGATTGAAGTTAATGTAATACTTAGTGGTCCATCAGAAAATGCTATTTTTCTTTCTGGAAATTGATATTTTGTATTATAGCAGGATCAAACTAATTCCTTTTTAAAAAATATTTTATTACAGAAATATTCACATGTACACAAAAATAAAGAGTATAGTACTATGTGAAGCCACATGTACCTATCAAAAAAAAAAAAAGAACTAAACTCAGTCACACCAAAATCCCTAAAGCCCTAAGCATACCGATAAAGAAAAACACAGGGAAACATGCAAATGAGCAGATATAGAGCCCAGATAGTACATCAGTCAAATGCCAGAGCCACTCACAGATTCATAAGGGAATATAAATCCTCTTCATTCATTTCACTGAGTTCAAATAATTCCTCAATAGTTTTCCTCCTTGGTACTTATGACACTTATGGGAAGATTTATTATCTTGCTCCATTACACAGTTGAAGAAAGCAGCCAATGCAAGAGAACTTCCCATTCCATTTGCTTCATGATACCAGTGTTCCAGTGGACAAAATGTCTAGCAGGCCAAGCAGATACACATGACCAGGAAGAAAAGTAGAGGCTGTATTGCTAGAATCCTCTACAGAGTAGTAGCAAAGGAGCCCTGATAAGAGATCAATGGAAGATAATGCACTCTACTTGGACATTACATAATCTGGGAAGGAAATACTGTTTCAATATTCAACTGTAAATATTCAACTGCCAGGTGCTTGTGACTCACATCTGCAATTTTATCAACTCTGGAGGCTGAGATCTGGGAATCCTGATTCATCCCATCAAAAAGCCAGAAGGCTGGGCACTGGTGGCTTATGCCTGTAGTCTTAGGTACTCCAGAGGCTGAGATCTGAGGATTACAGTCTAAAGCCAGCCTGAGCAGGAGCATCCATAAGATTCTCATCTCTAATTAATCACAGAATAAGTCAGAAATGGTGCTGTGGCTTAAGTAGTTGGGTGCTAACTTTGAGCAAAAACTTGCTTGGGGGCAGCACCCAAGCCCAGAGTTCAAGGCCAGAGTTCAAGCCCCAGGATCAGCAAAACAAAAACAAAAACAAAAAAACCAGAACATCAAAGGGCAACAGCAGCCACAAAACCGAAATGGAGCTATGGCTCACATTGGGGAGTAAGAGCCTTGAGCAGAAACTCCAACTGATAGCATGAGATCTTCAGCTCAAACCCAGTACCACTCCCTACCCCAGCCCCCAAAACATACACATATTTATGTATCAAAAGATTGATGAGGGCTGGCAAGGTGGCTCAGTGGTAGAGCGCTTGCCTTGCATGCTTGAGGCCCTGGGCTCGATTCCTCAGCACCACATAAGCAAAAAGAAAAAAGCCAGAAGTGGCGCTATGGCTCAAGTGGTAGAGCGCTAGCCTTGAGCTGAAGAGCTGAGGGACAGCGCCCAGGCCCAGAGTTCAGGCCCCACGACCAGACCCCCCCCCTCCCAAAAAAAAAAAGATTGATGAAAACCCTTTTTATCTCAATTGTGAAGAGCAGTAAGCCAAACAGGTCCTATCAGGATGTAAATATTTCATAAATCAGGATAGGAAAGAATTTCTTAAGCCTCTGTCATCTTTTGTGTTCAAGCTTTCATGGAAGCCAAATGTCAGAACTATTTTTCCCAGGCTTCCCATACACAGCAGTTCTAATCTCCTCCTCCTGAGAACTGTGAGTGATAGGCTCATATTAACACACCCAGCCTCTCTCATTTCTTCCCAAGAAGACAGGGCAGAAAAGAAGTCATTGGATAATGTGATGCCTGGAAGGCCAGTGGAGACAGCTCTTTTGTTATGATTGTCTCTGGGTACAAATTGTCCAGAGGAGCCAAAATTACTTCATGGAAATTACAGCAAGCCAAAAGGGGGAAAGAAGTCAAATCACAAAGAAAACAATGTCTGAACAATCTTTCATCCTGAATATAATGGCTGTGTCATGGTCACATTTCACCTCAGCATTGCAGTGATAGGTTTGTTAAAGTCCCAGTAGCTCCAAGATGTTGAGCCACCAATAACCTTTCCTAAGCTTCTGAAATTGAGGCCAGCGTTTTCCCATCCCAGCCTCAGAGCCCAGGTACAGGAAACAAGGGTCACAAGTCTCCATGTATTTCTTGGGTATCACTCCAATGCGAAGAACTGTCTGACATCGCCCTCAATTCCTTTCTCTCATGCAACATATTCTTAGAGAATGCATTTTCTTAATATATAATGTGAAAGCATTTTAAATTCTTTCCATTCAGTATGTCAATCTGTGAGTACAATGCAGCTTGATCAGTCGTCCCTTCCCTCATTCTCGCCAACATCTCTGCCAACCACTCATTCCCTCAAGCTACCTGGCTCTACTCTTGCATCCGTCCATGGAATATGATGACTATTCTCCAATCCTTCACCTGTTTCTCCATTCATGTACCTGCCTTCGCCTCTTCACACCTCCTCCTTAGATAAAACATGTTTCAGCTTCCTGGTATTCATTTGGTTAAACTCTAAGGTGTTTGTTCAAATGAATTATACTATTGAAATTCTTCCTTATGTACACTATGCTATAGTACATTTGTGTATATATGTATACAGCCTACATATGTTTTCATATATGTTTATAATTTAGATCTTACTACCACATATGAGAAACAAAATGCACCCTTTGTCACTTTGAGCATGGCTGACTGAAGGTAAAAAATTTCCAGGCTCATCCATTTCCTGGCAAATGATGTAACATCATTCCTCCTGATGGGTGAAAAATATTCCATTGTGGGGTCTGATTTTTAACTAATATCTAAACTTAAGGGTTTTGTAATATTCATTTTATACATAATTCCATTCCAGGCTTCAAGATCTAACCTCTACTGCACTTCTCCCTATTCCATGCTTCCAATTATTTTGTATTTTCATTACATCTTGCTCTATGCATTTATGTATACCACTCAAAAGTCTTTTTTTAGAAGAAAGGTAAAAAAATATATATGCAGATCTGTTTCAGTTAGTTTTTATTATTTTGCATAGGCGTATTTTTTTCCTCTTGAGATGATGAGTTTTCCTCTGCAGATTGTATTCTTATTCCTTCCTCCAGAAGCCATGCCACACAGTTTTGTTGACTTTATCTCATGCACTATCAAGTCCTAGGAAATGAAAGAATACACTTAATGCCCTAAGTGGATGTTAAAGCAGTTAGGAGTTTCTATGTCAGTCTTCAATGCCAATCCCTGACATGGCGTGTAGTCATGGGGCTTGGGAGCTGGGCCCTTTTTCCAGCTGCACACAACTGAGTTCAGCAAGTAAGCCATCAGCAAGTATTTGCACAGCACCAATGCATGAGCCTTAACAAGAAGAACTTTGAGTACTTACACCTTGTTACCTTCCCTGTTCAAGAACTTAGAATTTCTGGTCGAAACAAAGGTTATGAAGAGAATTGGGAGGAGCTGAGAACTACAAGAGGACTGATGCATGGCTCTTTCCTGGACACATGGAGAGGCTAGAGAGGGAAGGAGGGCCATGGCTGGGGGAAATGCCTCCAGCTCAAGGAGCCAGTGGGCTTCTGGGACTCAGAGGCCCAACAAAGGGTTTCAGGGATGTATTGCATTTGGTGCTGCACTGTGTTTGAAGGAAAAATATTGTCTATTTGTTATCTATCCTTTTAAAAAAAACCTTACTGAAGAGTTACCTTGAAGAGTTTTGTTACATGCATTTCCCTTTAAAATATAGTAAGGAATATTTTACTATAGTTTGAAATGAAGTGGTTTGAGAGCTGTGTTGAAAGAATTGTTCTTCTTGAAAGATCTTAATTCCTTTCTTACATTTTTATATTTTACGTATGTTTATACTATTTATAGTAAAGTTTTTATGTATTTAAAAAGCATATAAATTATAATCCATAGTATAATCTGTAATTAAAATATACATTTTATACTACATATGTGTAGTAGAAAAACTATAATATAGAGTATAAATTCTACAGTATATATCAAGACATACTAAACATCATATTGATTATATATTAGTATTTATATAATAGTAATATATATTTACTTTATAGATAATATAAATATATTTACACATATAAAATATATGTATATGGTAAATGGAAATATCCAATAAATGCATATTATACTTATGTTTTCTACAATAGACTTGTGTAGTATAAAAATATATGTTATATATGTGTTATATATATATGTTATATATATATACCTTGTTTTGTATATATATATATATACATATATATGTATACACACACACACACGCCCTGTTGTGTCTGGCTTATATCATCTAGTGAAATGTTTTCAAGTTTCATACGAAGCATTTTATTTTTTATTGCTTCATTTTCTTTATTCTGCTGATGGATGCTAGGTTAGTTTCTAATTTTTTGGCTCTTGTGAATAACTTCTGTATGAATATTCTTGCATTAGCAAATGCTTGAGTCCTGTTCTCAGTTTCCTTGGATACATATCTGAGAGTTGTTCAATCAAATGGTAGTTATGTAATTGAACTTTTGTGAACTGTTAACCTATTTTCCATGTCCATGTACCATCTTACATTTCTACCAGACATATTTCAAGGACTGACACATCCTTAGCAACAGTGTTATTTTCTTCCTTTTAAAAATTAAAGCTAGCCAGGCATCAGTGGCTCACGCTGTAATCTTAGCTACTCAGGAGGCTGACATCTGAGGATCGAAGTTCAAAGCCAGCTGGGGAAGGAAAGTGTGAGATTCTTATCTCCAATAAACCAGAAAATCGGAAGTGGTGCTATGGCCGAAGTGGTAGAGCGCTAACCTTGAGCTGATAAGCTGAGGGACAGCACCCAGGCTCCAAGTTCAAGTCCCAAGATGGACTAATTAATTAATTAGAGCTATGCTAATTGTTGTAGACCATTAACTCCCTACCTCTTTTGATTTCCATTTGTGGTGATTAATGGTGCTGGGGATCTTTTCCTGAGATGGCTTGATATCTGTGTGTCTTTCTCTGGGAAATGTCATTCCTGTCTTTCCACCCATATATTTTCATATATTTTAGTATCCTTGATTAAATTTAAATTTATTCATATATATTTTGTTCTTTTGGGGGGGGTATGGTAAATAATTCCCCACAATTCCTTCTCTTCATTGATGCTCTATAGAATCATTAAATGACTTCTGTTTGTTGATTTTGTGTTTTGTACATGCCAAATTATCTTATGAAGTGTGTGTGTGTGTGTGTGTGTGTGTGTGTGTGTTTTGGATTTTCTAAATATATGATTTGCTATAGAGTTTATTTCTTTCCCATTTAAATGTTCTTTCCTTCTTTCTCTTTTTCTCTTCCTCCTTCTCCTTCTTCTTCTCCTTCTCCTTCTGTTCACTCAATTTGCCCTATTAAAATTTCTCATACTATGTTAAATAAAGATCAAAATGGTAGAATACTATATTGTTCCTGATGGGAAAAGCTCTCAGACTTTCACATTTGCAAATTATGTTAGCTACCAAAAATTATATCTTAAGAGCAGTGCTTTTGAACCCAGAAGCAGCCTTGCTCACAGTGCTGGCCTCATCTCTGCAGCCTGAATACATCTTCCCCAGCCTGGCTATGTACAAGCAGAATGTCCAGGTCACTGGCATTACAAGTATTGGCTTCCTGGTGGCCACCAGGCTGCTATGGAATGTGGGAAAGTTTCTGATCTTTCTTGAGCAAGGTTTCCAAGGCCCAGTGCTTGTAACAAGGAAAAGAAGTAAATAACTAAAGAGCTATCCATTTCATATTACCTACTGTAGTTACTCTATGCAATCTCAGGACTATCCATTTCAAACAATTTATCTATGCACACTGTTGCATCGAAGTCATTTGAGGATCCATGGACAGCATTCTTCAAAATACTGATTCCATATCTAGCTCGGAGGGAGTCTGGGGACAGCAGCTTTGCTTCTTCTGGATCTACTGGACCCATCAGTAGTCTCCACTCTAAAACAGCATTCCACTTGGTCAGAACCATAATCAACGAAGGGCCCCTGAAAGTGACAATGAGTGGTTGTCATTAAAGAAGACAGAGGCTACTTACAAAACAGATTGTATACAAGGTTACATACAGAATGCCTCTGCTCCATCTGGGGAACTCTGCTTCATTATTTGCCTAATCAGTATCATTGTGTGTGTGTGTGTGGGGGGGGGGTCCTTTCCCCTTTTCCCTCAGGATTTTGTGCTAGATGAATTCTGGAATTTAATTTCAGGAAATATTTGTCAATAGAATCTTACCTTTGCTATTTTGGAATGGTAGAGACACGATCAAGGTCTCGGGATTTGTAGCCTCATGATGACCCTTCTGCTTCTGGAATCCTTGGGGGTGTTGTTAGCACTACCAGAAAGCCACCTTCATCTAGCCCCCTGCCCACATACACATGAGGTGGATGACAAGCAGTGACTGGCCAGGGCGCGGGGACCCAGGCCTGGCTGCCTCAGCCTCACACGGAACGGTGAGGACATTGTGGCAGTCGAGGACATTGTTAGGCCTGCACTGAACCCTGACTTCATTCTTTTCTCCAAACAGTGCCCATAATAATTTGCCTCCACTCTGAACTCTACTTCTCAGAGATTGGAACCCACCATATCTTTAAAAGTGAGAACAACTTCTAAGCTGTCATGGCGAGGGACATGCACAGTCCTCATTGTTTGTGTTGAAATGCTATTTCTATATGGGTGAACTTTGGTCTCAACTCTAAAAATACTGCATTTGCTCTTCTATTTCATCAATGTGTGAGTACTATGACCAATATTTCAAACCCTAAGTAAACTTTCATGGATGGTCACATCACCATAAACTCGATGTAAATGAAGTCTGACTTAGACATAGACTTCCTGGGGTTGTGAATCCAGTCAAGGTCTAGCTTTGAGCCCGTGGACAAATTCTCGCTCTGAGCTTCTGTTCGTTCATAGTCAAAATGGAAATTTGAATCGAGTCTACTTCATACAGTTTTTGTGAATCCAAATGAGATAAAGTGTATGTAGATGGCAGGAGGCATGGAATTAAGTAAACATGTCATCAAGTTAGCTTTCTGATTCAATGCCTGGAGAAGATACTGTTGCCTGGAACTCAGCTAAAATATGAAGAAGGAAGCCATAAAACAACTATTTGGTATTACCCTATTTGTGTGACTACATCCATCTATTACGTTTACATTCAGAGTAGGACATGGTATCTATACATGTCAAAGAAAAAGAGATATGAGGAAAGATGGCTAGAATTTACTGAGTACTTTTCGTATAGTATGCACTGTTCCAAGCACTTTTTGCTTCAGGTGACCTAACACTTAGAAAAACTACCTGTGGGAGAGGCTATTCTTCCTCCTGTTTTCAGAACAGGAAGCTCAAGCCTTGACTCTGTCATGGTAATGCAGCTCTACCCAAAGAAGAAAGGATAAGAGAGAGTGGAGTGAGGGAGGAGGCTAAGGAAAACAGGACAGGGGAGGAGAGAGGGAATCAGGGGACAGAAGGAGCATGGGAGAGAGAGTGGAAGGGAAGGAAGAAGGAAAGGAGAGGGGAACAGAGAGAGAAAGGATGGTAAAGATAGAGAGGAAATAGGAAAAATAAACCATAAATGCTAATAGAATGTCTTCTCATGAATGAGATTAGATGGAAAGTTTTCAACTATTTCCCATATTTTCCAGTTTCTAAAGTGAACATTTACTACTTTTACATTAGACAAGTATGTATAAAAAACTTACTCAGTGAATGCTTTCACCAGGTCCGCATAAAAGTCTTTTTCTGTGACTGTGAAGTAAATTTCGTCTGTATCCTCTTTACTTAGGATCATCTGTTTCATCATAGTTATATCAAATCCTGACTCTTTAATGAGCTTCAAGATCTCCTCTAGGAACACAAAGATTCAGTCATCTTTCACATCTTTCTACTTTTCTTTCACATTCAAGTCCATCAAAATAACAGAGGCAAATAATAGTTTTACTTGAGTGGTATAGCTTATGCCAAACTCACCAAATTGATACTCAGAACTATAGGATGTTAATAAAGTGGGCTAGCAAAGAGTGGACAAGGAAGATTTCTAGCATGTTAATAATGAATCCACATTGTCATATCTATGTTCCAACTGCCCAAGAATTTCTTACAAGATCTGTATTGGAGGCTCATGATGAACTTTCTGAAAATGCAAAGCCCCACGAAGGGAATTTAGTAAAGCAGATCTTAAAGTATTTCCAGCAGCTTAGATGTTAGAGAACAACACTCTGGAGACAAAGGTAAATGAGCTGGTGCTGAGACCCTTCTAGTAAAAAGGAAGGAACAGAAGGAAAGGAGAAAATGGAGGCGATGAGGAGGGAGGAAGTAAGGGAGGAAAGGAAGAAGGAAGAGAAAGAGAAAAGGAGGGGGAAGTTTGATAAGACAAAAGAAAATGTTCACATAGAACTCTAACATGAATTAAATAATTGGAACCTAAAAACACCATGAATCAAAATTTCAAGCTCAAAAGTATGCCAATAAGTAGATGTACAGTAAAAGTTGACTCTACTCAGAGAAGAAATTAAAGCAAAAGAAAATAATCTAAGCAACAGACTCAATAAAAAGGTGTCAATGGACATTATAACTTAAAACACTATAGAGCAATGGAGAATAAGAATAAAGTTAGCAAGAATAAGGAAAGGGAATAAAGAGAAATCCTAATTTAGAAAGCAATGGTATAAAGCTCAGGTAAATACAAGTGTATATACTTTTTTGTGTGTATGTATGTGTGTGTGAATGTGAATATATATATATATATATACATATATATATATATATATCACTTAATGTTATGTATTTATTTTAAATTTTTTACTTCATCATATCAAAAAGAATAGTACATTTAAAATGTAAATTATTTTAGTACAGAGATCTCTTATTCTTTCTGGTGAAGTCCTTATGGAGAAAAGTAAAACAGCAGATCAGAACTGACATTTAGTGTTATCAGCCAAAAAATCCACACTGGAATTAAAAGAAAACAGCAATCTAGATGCTGAAAGGGTAAATATTTTCCTGAAGGGGAAAAAAAAAGAAACAAGAAGGGTTAGTTCTCATTTAGTAATTTTTGCTATTAGAAATACATGAATAAAGCTACCAAACTTGAGAGATTACAAAAATTTATTCCAGGTCATGGAATTGAACCCTTATGAAGCTCATGCTCTACTATTGAGCTACCATCCAACATCAGTTTTTGTTACTAGAGGGAGACAGAGACAGAGCACAAGTAAATATCCAATGCAAATATACCAACTTGAACTGTTGGATCTAAATGACCGGGTATGGGTATTTTACCCAGTTATTCTTTTTGAAAAGTTATACCAAATTTTGGAGGACAGTGTAGGATTTGCTTTTATTTTAATGTCTTTACCTCTTTGTTCATGTGATACGTGAGGCTTAATTATTGCTAGCGTGCTCGTGAGAGGAAAGAAGTGCTCTATTTCTCGTTCAGCAGTATCAGGGAAATTGCTTCCATATAACTGGTTGATGGGCAATTCTTCTGTTGCAAACTGTGCACACAAACTTTAAAAAAGAAATCAATCAATTAAAAAAAGAGATTACCACACCACAAAGTAACCCGTTTGGGGAGGATGTGCATCTACTTTAAGTCTTTGAATGTGGTTTTCTTCAATACATCCTGTTGTCTTTCTAGTTTCAGAGGCTCTTTACATTTCCTCCTTTGCTTTATTCTGTTTGCCCCTACTACTCAGCCTTGGGCCTTTCTACACTTCTAATTTGGACATGACTTCCTTCCCACATCCCTAGGAACCAGGGGTTCCTCTCTAATTGTTAATTAAAAAAAAAACCTCTACGTCATAACCATCACAGTCCCTTCTTAGTGAAGAGTTCTCCAGTATCCAGTCTGTTGGGTGTTGACTGTGATGATTCCTGAGAAAGGTGGGTATAGGAGTGGGAGGTGGCTGAGGGAGAGGAGTAGCTGTGTTTCTCTTTAGGCAAGAGACCATATTTTAAGTAAATTAATGAAAAGTGAAAATATGGTAGCTAAGTGCAAGAGAGTGGCACTTGAAAGTGGTACCACAATCCTAGCTATTCAGGAAGTTGAGATCTGAGGATCTCAGTTTCAAGCCAGCCTAAGAAACATGGAAGTCTGTGAGACTCTTATTTCCAGTTAACCACCAAAAAAGTGGAACTGTGGCTCAAATGTAGAGTACTAACTAGCGTTGAGCAAAAATCCTGATAGAGTTGAAGCCTCAGACTGGCAGGAAAAGGAAAGAAATTAAGAAAGAAAGAAAGAAAGGAACGAAGGAAGGAAGGAAGGGAAGGAAGGAAAGAAAAGAAATAAAAGGAAGAAGAAGAGAATAACAGAAAGAAAAAAAGAAAGGAATAAAGAAAGAAAAAGGAAGAAAGAAAAGGAAGGAAGGACAAAAGGGAGGGAAGGAGGGGGAGAAAGGAAGAAAGAAAGAATAAGGGAGAGAGGGAAGGAGGGAAAGTGAAGGAAGGAGAAAGAAAGAATAAAGATAGGAAGGAAGGAAGGAAGGTAGTTTATTTCTAAAGTAGGCAGTTAGAGCTGGGTAAGACCAAATAAATGAAAAGGAGAGAGCAGATAAAAATAATTGTGAAGAACTTGTGGAAATTTTACTGTAATGGTTGGAAGGAAGCAATCTCTGAGTGCCTTTGGCTAAAGAAAATGACTCTGCTCTGAGAGTAACCTCTACATTTGGAATTAGATGCCCCTGTAGGCCCTGTCTTGATAGCAATTCTACTCTCTGGTGCTATACCCTTCATCTTACACATTTTATTAAAAGGTTTGATTACATTCTTCCCCCCGCCCCTTCATTCATTTACTCCTCTCCACTTAACTCCACCCTCTTGCAAGTACCCATTTCCTGGTGCTGGTTTTGCTGGGCTTTGACTTAGACTTTCAAATAATTATGCTATTTGATCTCTTCATAGAGTCTATTATACTTCATTTAATTCATTTGTAACCACTTATATACCATACAATGTGTTTATTTATAGATTTATAGGTACATTCTATCTACCATAAATGAGGGAAACCATGCATCTCATTTAAAAAAAAGAGGTTTTGTGGCACTCTGCTCATACATTTGAAGAGCATCAACCTGTTCTATCCTTTACAAGAACTATCTGGCAAAAGCACAAAGAAGAAAGTGAGTAAGGGTGAATAGGAGGTGAATTATACCATGGAAAACAAGTGCAATTCAAGTATATCCTACAACCTAAAAGATAGCACTGCAGGTTCTACATAAATGGTGTTTTGAAGGCACCATTATTTCATTGTGTGGATAATGAAGATCAAGTTTGCTCTGCCTTGTGGAGGATCTTCATTCTTTTACATTGCCAAGAAGGGCCTTTTCCCTCCAGAATTGAGTCCTATTTTGAAGTTGGCATAAAACATTTCAAGCAAACTGCTATTCTGCATGCTTCATTCAGTGACATGTCAAGCATAGAGAGGCTAGAGACAATCCCCATCCTTTAGATGTTACTGAGTCCAAAAGTTAAGATAAATATATGAGAGAACCACCTCTCTGCACAACAAACTATGCCTCCTATGTAATTCATGTCAAACTTTAGTCGACTTCTAAGATTAATTAGTAAATCAACTCAGTAAATGTTATCACAGAATTCTAGAGTACATATCCAGTTAATCACAATCTCAAACCTTTTATGATAAACTAAAGGACCTGCCCTATGATTGAGGGAGAGTTAGGCCTTGATCTGACATATAGGGATATACAATTTGGTGGACCTATCATGTGACAGATAACATGTGACCCATGATGGCCCTTCTTCCCACAAGGCTCTGGGTTCCCACTCCAACACATCTTCTATTCACAATACCTTGGGTCCCTGCTCAACCAATAAAAAGAGCTGGGCTGGTACACACACAAGCCACCAAAACATCGGCACAAAGTCCATTGACAGTAACATGGGAGCCCTGGTAACAGTGGCCCTCTGAGGGATCTCCATTGGGCTCTCCGCTCTGGGACCCCTCTTTACAGAGTCCATATTCTACTTCTGCTTTCAAATAAAGCTGCTCTGTCTGCTTAAACATTCTCCTACCTTTTTAAGTTTTTAAATGACAGAGGAACAAACCTGAACCCCTGGATGTCATCACAATCAAAGAGTCTTTCTGAAAAGATTTTCTCTCTAAATAGTGAGGAGGATGAATATTTTTCACAAGAGGAGGCCTGTTGGTTGGCCTTCACTTTCTAGTATTCATCATGCAACTTTCTCATGCTAAACCATGGGCGTTTCCAGCTGCTGCCATAAGCACTTCACTTAGGAAAAGCAGTTTTCCCAAGAAGTTCCTTCATAATGCAGATGTGTTTCCTGTGCCTCATACCTACACATAAATTAAGAGTTCATCCCAGGACAAACTAGTAATCCACAGTGGGGATCCTACCTCTCTAGGACATATTCACTGACATCATCAACCGATTTTGGTCCCAGTAACTGTTTCCAGTATTCCAAGCCATTTTCTCTCAATAAAACAAGGGCAAGAGAAGGACCACTGTTTAAAAAGGAAAAAAAAAAAAACCATGTTAACAAAAGTACAGTTCAGAAGATAGATAATATAAATTCATATTGTTAAATTGACTAAAATCATAAAAATACATGAAGGGGTCTGCAATTAATTTGATTCAGTGTCCTTTCAAGGGCATATATGTAAGAGGTTGGAAGCAGAGAGGAAGGGAAGAGCAGGATTTAGCTGTAAGAGTAGTTCCTATGTTCCCACTGCTGTAGGTGCCCTTATTGGATTTCTCCTTCAGCTGCCATTCAATTACTCATCCAGAACCCCAACAATTTCTAGATCCCATTTGTGTCCTAGAACTAAGTAGGGATCTGGAAGATAACCAAATCAAATACTAAAAGTCAAGTCAGGCCAACCAAAGAGTAGTCAGTTCTCTGCTTGGACTTGGTGATAGCTTACACACACTCTATTTCTGATGTTCAATTAGACAATTACAACATTCCCTGAGACTTTTGCAGTAATGTTCCAGGAAGACTAGAGAAGACAGACAGTGAGCAGAGAATCTGAAGGGAGGCAGGACTGACAAAGAAGCAGACTTTAAGAACCAGCTTCAAAGCTGGGCACCAGTAGCTCACCCCTGTAATCCTAGCTACTCAGGAGGCTGAGAGATGAGGACTGAAGTTTGAAGCCAGCCTAGATAGAAAAGTCCCCATGAGACAGTTATCTCCAATTAACTACTCAAAAACTGGAAGTGGTGTAGTTGCTTAAAGTGGTAGAGCACTAGCCTTGAGCAAAAGAGCACAGGGACAAAGCCCAGGCCCTGAGTTCAAGCACCACAACTGACTATTAAAAAAAAAGAACCTACTTCAGAGTCTGCCAACAAATAAAAATTACATTTGGGCCAGGCAATAGTGTTTCATGCCTGTAATCTTAGGTACTCTGTAAGCTGAGATCTGAGGATCCGGGTTAGAAGCCAGACTGGGCAGGAAATACCATGAGACTGTTATCTCCAATTAAGTACCAAAAATGCTGAAAGAGCTGTGTCTCAAGTAGTAGAGCACTAGCCTTGAGCACAGAAGCTCAAGAACAGCACCTACATCAGCAAAAAAAAAAAAAAAAAAAAAAGTAGGTTTCATTGAGTTAAAAAATAACAAAAACCAGGCACAGTGGCTCATGCCTATAATCCTAGCTACTCAGGGGGCTGAGATCTGAAGATTTCAGTTCAAAGCCTTCCCAGGCAGAAACCCTGTGAGACTCTTTTCTCCAATTAACCACCAGAAAATCAGAAGTGACACTTTGACTCAGAATGGTAGAATACTAGCCTTGCACAAAAGAGCTCAGGGACAATGGCCAGGTCCTGAGTTCAAGCCTCAGAGTGACAAAAATAAACAAACCAACAAACAAAAATCACAGAGCCTTCTGAACCTGAATTCCACTTTACCTGGTCATATATGGTATAAGTTTTTCGTAATAGTCTTCGTTTTCATATTCCTCACACAGTGCTTTGGCCTCTTCTTCTGATAAGACTAGTTCTCTTTGCATCAGTATTTTAAATCCTTCATTGTTAATTATAGTCAAAACATCATCTAAATAAAAACAATACCACATAATCAGTTTCAAACTGGTAGGTTACTGGCTATATAGACTATATGTAAGATACCAAAAGTATATCAAATAAATTTAATTTTCATATGAAATACCAAGTTTGTGAAAATAGTTTTCTAGTCAATGACAGTTCTTCAGATCTCAAATTACAATGTGGCTTCCAGTTTTTTACATCATAGAAATCATATGCCCACAGACATAGAAATGTTTTATTTTGAGGTGCAGGCACATTGTGTATATGTGTGTACATGTGTGTGTACAGAAACCTCCAGATTTATCCAACTCAGATACAAAAATCTTTATAAATTATTTTAATATTCAACAGCCCTCATGTTATTTGAGGAGAAACAAGTAGGCTATATACTCAAAATTATTTCTCACTCTTCTCTTTAGCCCCTTTCTACTATGGAAGCCTGGAAAATAGCACACTTGAACTGGGCACTGGTAACTCACACTTATAATCCTATCTATGATCTGAGGATCACCGTTCAAAGCCAGCCTAGGCAGGAAAGTCCTTGAGACTCTTAACTCCAATTAAGCACCAGAAAAATGGAAGTGGCACTGTGGCTCAAAGTGGTAGAGTGCTAGCCTTGAGCAAAAGAGCTCAGGGACAGTGCCTAGCTCCTGAGTTCAAGGCACGTAACTGACAAAGGAAAAAGAAAAAAAAAGAAAGGGAAGAGGTCTGTCTGTCCTTATGGATGGTAGAGCAATGTGATTCAGACAAGGTCAAGAACATGTGTGACAAAATCGGTTGGGATGCTTCTGAGAGAGACCTCTCTGCCCTATACTATCTCTGCCTGTGAATATGGAGGACAAAGAAGGATAGATATTCACTTAGAACCCAGACAACATTATGCCTGATTGACACTTCTTTTGTCATCCCCTAATTCAGAGTCTGCAAGCTCAGGAATGAGCAATCTATCCATTCGGCCAGTAAGTCTAGTTTCCTTAGCAACATGCAATTTACCTTCTTTGAATATTTCTCCTAAGCGTTGATCGCATGACACAGCTCCCATCCCTTAACCAAGAAAGAGTTTCCTAGCTCCAAACCTAAGTAGATCAGAGGTTACAAAATCCTCTTTGGTGTAGCTATTTCCAAAGTAACTCCGTTACAACTCTAACCCAGAGTTCAACAAGTCAGAGAATAAACAGTCCACAGATAATTATCAACTGTGTTTCTGAATACCAGCAATAAATTCCTACTATTTCCTAGTATTTGCTTAAGGAATTTTCCCTGCTATATGAAATTGAGTGAAGGTAAAATAGGTAGTATTTAGGACTGAGTGTGCAACTCTGTGGTAGAGCTTTTGCCAAGCATGTAGGAAGCACTGGTTTGCATCTCCAGCACTGACAACAAGCAAAAAAAAACAAGGAGAAAACTCAAAAACCAGTTTTTAAAGGGCCAGACACTTTAATCTTGTGGGATTTACAAATTCAGAAACAGTCAAATACCTTATATAATTTACACTTAATTACAGTTGCCATAATTACAGTATCCAACCTCTATATATAATCATTCTGTAATGGTAAAAAAAAAAAAAAAGAATGACTGTAACAAATTCACAGGTTAGGGAATGCTTGGTAAATATGTGTGACATATTTTTGCCTATAGTGTCTTTTTTGTTACAACTGATAAATTAGTAATTTGATATCAAAATTCAATTTGCCAAAGTACTTAATTTTATCGTTTAATTTCCTACTTTTTCTTTCATGGAGAAGATCAGGCTTCAGTAATGCCAATGTTCTTTGCAACTTGATGGCTTGCATTTCTCTAAGATTGGGGAAGAAGGTGTCCAGGAACTTAGTGACGTTACCAGGAATATTTTCAGTCTCACAAAACTGAGATATATGCTGCCGTTCCAAATATTCTTGCAGACTGTTAAAATCCAAACATATAACTTAAGTTAGTCATAAAAGCTTCATATCCATGGCAATACAGTAACTGATTATACACTCAGAAATAATGTGGAGTTTAGTGCTTAAATGAAGAAAAGCTGCATTTCACAAGATGGTATATTATATCAAATGCAAGAATAAATAGTGAATCTACCTTCTTATGGAATAGTGCACAATGAATTAACTAACTCAATCTATGCCAGAGTCATGAGAAATTAAACAAAGATGAAGATAAAATGTTATGTTTTAAAGACATTTCGTCGATGAAGAGATTTCAGATAGCTTTTCTATTTCTATTTTTCTTCAAACCAAAGATTACTTAGAAATAAGAATCATATTTTCAAATGGCTATTTGGGCACCTCTTTTGTGAATTTCCAGTTTTATAAGATTATGAGCAGCAAATATGTACGTAATTTTAAAAGATCTTGTTAGAGTTTTCTTTATAAACAGAGAAAATTTATGTGAGATAATGTTGTATTTTTACATTGCATATATTATAGATGACCTATTAAGTATAGAATATTAGCTTTCCTGTTATTAGTTATTTTGGTCTACTAACAGATATTTTCATCGAGTTATCCAATTTTTTCTAAGAATTATTTCTAATACTTGGTTGTGAGGTTAGTCATATTGTGTGTGTGTGTGTGTGTGTTTGCTGAGGCTTGAACTCTGCCTGAGCGCTGTCCCTGAACTTCTTTTGCTCAAGGCTAGTACTCTATTGCTTAAGCTCCACTTCTGGCTTTTTTGGTGGTTAATTATAGTTAAAAATCTCATGGACTTTCCTATCCAGACTGACTTTGAACTGTGATCCTCAGATCTCAGACTCCTGAGGAGCTAGGATTACAGGCGTGAGCCACCAGAGCCCTGCATGATGTCAGTTTTTATTACTGCTGGTGACTCACCACACTAGTACTATACACTACTTTTTTAAAGGCAAATCTATCATATTTCCTCCTGGTTTGTCCCAGTTCAGGTTGGACCAGGATTCGTTGAACCTACAGTCATCTATGGAGCTACACTCACAGGTGCATGCCACCGCACCCAGCTTACTGCTTAGATGGGGTCATGCTAACCACTTTTTTCAGCCTGTCCCTGAACCGTGATCCTCCCAATTTCTGCCTATCCAATAATTGTGACTGAATGCATGAGTCATGTGTCCAAACTCATGTAATGCTTTTAAGGCACAAGGAAAGTGGAAGGAGGATGTGAAGAGGTGGCTAGGAGACCAGGTTGGGAGGGATAATGCATGGCTTCAATCTATGCCTTAGGACCAAGGCCATGGGACTGAATAGCTGGGTCTCATGTTCACAATGAAAAGCAGAAAACCCTCTTTCCTTCCTAATGTTCTTGTGGGCAACCACAGCTTTTCTGAAGATAAAACTTTAGATGGACTGGAAGAAACACTTGGTGTTTTAACACAGAAACCTTTGTGTTTCAGTTGTGAGATGGATGTGGGCCACACACTTCATCACTTCCTTCCACACTGTAAATGATACAGGAATTCCTGCTTGCAGCTACCTGTCCCGTTTCTGCTTTATCATTTCAGCTATGGGCTGAGCTTCACTCTCATTCTGAGAATCAGATGATTCTTTAGCTTCTATCGTAGCCTGAGATGTAATCTCCTCCAAGAAATCCTTATCTTCTGCTCCCACAGAAATAACTAGAATATAGCTGAGGCCAGACGTCATAAGGGACAAAAATTCTTCAAAGTCAGGCTGCAAAAATAAAAGGACAAACTGCTCACTTCAGACTCTTGATTTCAGTGGACTACAATGGCAGCTACAGTGAAAGGCCTGTGAGATCCCTGCCTCATCGTCATGGGCAAGAGGATGTTATCCTTAAACCGTGTCCTGCTTTGCAAAGACCTTGAGGGATCCAGGCTCACAGCTCACAGGCACTGGGACTTCATTCTGTCAATCACTTTTCTAGCATTGGGAGGCTAGATGCAGGGAATGTTAGCATACAACTTTCTGAGCTCCAGCCAGTATCTATGAATACCTGCAACTGAAATTGCTTCAGAGCCCATGTGCTCAAGGCTGGCCACTAGCCTCTGGTGTTACTTAGGAGACAGAAGGAAGTAAGTCATGGGGTCCCCATGGGAAGGGTTGTTGGGACCTTGGCTTCTCCACTCTGTTTTTTCTGCTTCCTGACCATCACCGACTCAACAGCTTTGTCATGATTTCTGCCTCCACCTAGGCTCAAAGAGAGGTGGCAAAGTGACCATGGATGGCAATCCATAAAACCTTGAACAAAAATGATCCTATTGTCTTTTTATATAGACTTTGACAGGTGTTTTGTCACAGCCACAGAAGATGATGAAAGTGGTTGTTTCTGGCTCCAGTCTGTGAGCTGGTTTTTCTCAAGAGATCACAGCTGGTGCTGTGCAATGTGTCTAACTTTTTGTGTGCTACATATGGAAACTGGAGGCAGAAAACATTGCTTGAGGAGGCTAGCCAGCTCTATCTGCACATTGCTGTCCAGTAGGACTTTCTGTCATGAAAATCCTCCCCCAACACTCTGTAAGCCCATAGTCACAGGCGGCTACTGGACACTTGGAATGGGAGAGAGAGTATTTAGCATTATTGGGCTTGAGCAGATTTAGTGTTCATAACCCTACCTGAAAGGACTTGGGTAAAGAATGGGTGGAAGCATTCCTGGGACCTTGACCAGAGAGCCTTTAGTCCTGGGCACAAGTATAGGAAATGACTGACTCTTCACTTGCAGTGGACAAGAGGTCTTCCACCAAACACCATTTCACACATTCAATATGGTCAGGGTGTCTCTATTTCTAATGGAGATCTCCCCAGAGCTGCCATCTTCTCAACACCATAACATGGACAGGATCACAAACACCTGAGGCTCCCTTCCTTGGCCATACTGCTTTGCTTTTCTGTCTTAAAGATGGAAGGCCCCTAAGAATCCCTGGCTGTTTCTGAATACACAACAGCTCATTTCAAAGCCCTCTTACCTCCTCTGCCATTTGACTGAAGAAATTCTTTACTTCTTCCTCGGTGAACATCTTTTTCTCCTCTGCTTCGATGACATATCCTGCACTGATAAGCTTCATTTATAGAGTCAAGACGGATATAGATGAGATATGAGATTACATGGAACACAAGTAAAGGCTGATTATGTACAGACATTAATAAATCACCCAGGTTTATGTGCATATCATTCAAAGACCCCGTCAAGTCCATGGGGAACCTAGACGTGATGGTACACATCTATACTCCAGGCTGTTTGGGAGGCAGAGGTAGGAGCCTTGCTGTTTATATGTTCCTCATTCTTAGAATCATTCTTTTGAATGGCATTTCATCCAATTTGACATCATGAAAAATCAGTTGCTATGAAATTAGTAACTTTTGTAGGTCCTGTTGCCTTGCTCTTTCCTAATGATGTGCATGTGTGTGTGTTCTTCTGCATTGCCATTTGCACATCCAGGACCAAGTCTTTGGCTGGAAATCTGGATCTCATCTATTCCTTCTGTTGAAGAATTTGCCCACGTTTTGGGAAGAACTATGTGGCAGCAAGTCTGAAGGGCAGTTTCTCCAATCAGGACTGAGGTTTTAGATCAGAACACCCAACTCGTGTGCTCAAGACACTGGGCCTGATCTTCAGCATTAAGAAAGAGGAAAATGAACTGAAGCAGCAGCTCCACAACTGATAGACCATGCAGCCATGTAAATAATAACAGCAGACCGCCCCCCCCCCCAGTAAAAGCAATTATACCATAATATCAATCAGAGTAGACGAAAAAAAAGAGCTAAGATAATATGCCATGAACTAGGAAGATACTAGTTATGAAGAATAGGAATAAAATTAATTAGAAAAAATAGTAGAGAATAATAGTAAGCAAAGAAAGGAAAACAGGAGAAGGTGGAGGAGTAAGTAGGTAGAAAGCAGGGTAAGAAAGAAGAAGAGAAATAATAGAGATGATCCAGCTAAAGCTAAAATAAGGAAGTAATCTGATATACAACAATAACAAAATCAAGATAAAGAAATTTTTTTGGTCGGTTGTGGAGCTTGAACTCTGGGCCTGGGCACTGTCCCTCAACTCTTCAGCTCAAGGTGAGTGCTCTACCACTTGAGCCTCAGCACCACTTCTGGTTTTCTGGTGGTTTATTGGAGATAAGAGGCTCACAGACTTTTCAGCCCAGGCTGGCTTTGAACCATAATCCTCAGATCTCAGCCTCCTGATTAGCTAGGATTACAGGTGTGAGTCACTGGTGCCCGGCAAGATAAAGAATTTTATTTTATTTTATTTTTTATTTTTTAGGGAGCAAGAATCTGGTCATGGGGCCTGAACTCTGGGCCTGGGCGCTGTCCCTCAGCTCTTCAGCTCAAGGCTAGCACTCTACCACTTGATCTACAGTGCCGCTTTTGGCTTTTTTCTTTTTGCTTATGTGGTGCTGAGGAATCGAACCCAGGGCCTCATGCATGCAAGGCAAGCACTCTACCACTGAGCCACCTTCCCAGCTCCAGGATAAAGAATTTTAAAAGGATGAAAGAGGATAAAGAAGAAGAAATGAAAGCACAAGGCTCTCAGTTCAATTGCCAGTACTGACAGGAAGGAAGGAAGGAAGGAAGGGAGACAGACAAAAGATCATTATTTGTAGTCACATACCTACAGGTACAGGGCATAAAACAAGTCAACATGAGTTTATAATAAGATCATATTTCTAATTATTAAACAGAAATAACATTTATTACAATCCAATAGACTAAAATTTTTAGAACTTATGTAGGATGCTGGGTGAGTAACTTAATGAGAGGATAGAAAGCTCAGTAGGTTGGGGATTTGTAAAAACACAAAATGTTCAAAGCCTTTAGAGGTACCTAGTACATCACTTCATTTATTTTATTTTGTTCCAAACAATAAGCTTGGCTCTCAATAACAGTAAAGTTATTGTTCTTTCTCAACTAACTTAAACTATTGTAAGTAAATGTGACTTACTTTTTTTTTAATTTGTGGAGTTTTTCTGCTATTCACAGCATCAGGTTTGATCACAACAATACTATATATTTCCCCTAGGGAGGAAACAATAGAATTTCACTGTCTTGGCTCAAAATCAAGATAATGGTGACTAGAAATGTCAATTTTCTAATGACTGGTGAATATTTGACTGCTGATAGCTTTGTGTCTTCTATGGCAGAAAGCATGCTCCTATATGTACCCACCTTGGAAACCACCACCAAGTCTTTAAGGAGAACACATAATTCAGAGGTGTGGTTTTGATATAATTCATGTGTATTGCAATTAGCATTCATGGTTCACATAGATCTGAATGACCAGGGACAGAAACTTCAACCATACACTCTACAAAATTCAACTGACAAAGTTGCCATCTGTGAATTCTTCTGTATCTATAAGACACACTTCATGCCAAATAGCTGGCTGAGTATGGCTATTTGTCTCTGGTGTCTTTGAGAATGAACGCACATCCCTAGACACACAAACAGAAACCCAGACACAGAGAATGCAGTGAGGGCATAAAACTGTTAACTGTCATCAGAGAGGAAATGTATATGGTTTTGGAAGTGGATGAAGGATGAACTGGAAATCTGCTGTCCAGATTAGCTGTAAGAGTCAGGAGGTCATGGTCTTTGAAAAGCTTTGAGAAAATTCCAGAACCAGAGACTAAAGCTATGACAGGAAGGGAACAAAGAAGGGTGACTTTTCAGAGCTGAGACATGTACAGATTGAAATGATTTATCTGAATAGTCAAGGTGTGCAGTAATGAACTTCATTGTATGGGAAAGCCTAGCCATTGCTATAAAGATACTTACCAAGATTTTCATAGTTTGGTCCCCTACCATCCTTTCTTAATGTGTCTGAGAGTGGAACTTCACTATACTGTGAAAGAGAAATGCAAATAAAAATCTAAATGCACATGAATATATTAATGACAGTATATTTAGAAAATGTGTTTCTAGTAAATACTCATAGCTCAAAAAATACTTGGCAGAGTAGAAATGTGTCTTTGGTCTACAAAACCAAAATACTTCCAAGAAGTATATAACATTCAAACTCACACTTTGTTATCAAGGGGTGTGGTGTGAATGGTTTCCCAAAGGGGTGTGTAAAAATCAAGGTTCAGGGCACAGCCCTAGTTCTAGGAAGAGGTCATGAGACTTTTAAGAGGTGAAACCCAGTTGGAGGAAATTATGTCATTAGATTGGGAGAGGAGGAGAGGGAGCATGTGCGGAGGTGGGTGTGGGGAGGGCAGGCTGGGACAGTGATCTTCTCCTCTCCACTCTTTTACCCTTCCTAGCTCCCATGAGGTGATGAGCTTAGTTTACAATAAGATACCCACCATCATGTTCTGCTCACCACAGCCCTAAAGCACCATGGCCAAGAGCCTGTGGTTATGAAGCCATAGCCCAAACACACCTTTCCTAAAGTTAGTTTCTCACAGTGATAAAGAGCTGACTAACAGGTGTAGGAAATATGCTTTAGGAAAGCAACACTCATACAATTAAAAAAATTAAAACATGCAACAATAGACAGCATTATATTACCTGAGGACGGGCCAGTTCACCATCCAATATTTTCCTTTCTTCATTGATCAGACTAATGACTTTTCTATTAACAAGGGGCGCATTTGCACCCTGCACTTTTGCAATGATTTTGCCATTCTACAGGAGAGAGGAAAGTATGAATAAGTCAAGGATTCACACTGAATCTGGACCATTCACTCTTACTGTTTCTTATTTTCATGCATCCTCTGTTGGGTACTGTGATCAGGATCTTAAAATGATAATGGTGTGAAAGTTTGTAAACCCAGCTCTTGGGTTTCTACTTCTAGTATGTCTGTTTTCCTTCAACTGAAGGTGTAGTGGCATCCCCTAGCACCTCAAAGAGAGTCATCACCCTAGAAGAACAGTCACGTGACTCACCTTAGTTACCACTGCTTTAAGTCTGGGGACCCAGTCACCACTGAACTGTATTTCAGCAGCACAAAATGACAAACAACTAAAAAAATGGTCATTTTGTTTATCATAGAGCAGGTAACTGCCCACATTATCAATGTCAATTTGTGGGGAATAAGCAGACAAAAATCAGATTGAATGAGTTGAGGGGTTAAGAATGGAAATAAATAGAATACAAACACTGAAATCCTGGGGCAATGTAGCTATGAATTGGTAGTGACTGGTGGCACCTGTACACAAGCATGCTATCATGATGTACAGAAGGAACAGTATTTTTTTTTTTTGGGTCCGGTCGTGGGGCCTGAACTCTGGGCCTGGGCGCTGTCCCTCAGCTCTTCAGCTCAAGGCTAGTGCTCTACCACTTGAGCCACAGCGCCACTTCCGGCTTTCTTCTTTTTGCTTATGTGGTGCTGAGGAATCAAACGCAGGGCCTCAGGCATGCAAGGCAAGCGCTCTACCACTGAGCCACCTTCCCAGCAGGAACAGTATTTTTTTAAAACTGAATAATATCCAAGAGTCAAAGAGAAGAATTCAGGTAAGAAAGTTTTAAGTAAAGCTGAAAAATTCTGATTTCGATTTGTCATTGAAAGTAATCTTTCACAAATTCCTATGAAGGCAAAATGTTAACCTCTTCCTGCTGAAGCTTGCTAGAATGAATTTTTTGTCTACTAAGAACCATGACCAATGAAAAGGAGCTGCTGTGGGGTACTGAAATAAAGACCAAGCTGGCTCAACGTCAGGAAGATGGCACAGGTGCTGTCGGGAGAGATAGGTCATGGGCAGGGGTCCAGATGATGTAGAGAGGAAAGATGGGAAAGCGCAGTTCATAACATCCAAAGTACATAGATGCAAATGGAATCGGGTAACTGTAGGGGACAGGCAGGGTTGGAAGAGATGGTGAGATTAAGAATGGAGTGACATTGATCAAGAATGCATAGTACCCATAAATGGACATTATACAACTACTTAAAGATGATGGAGAAAAAAGAGACAACATAGTCTTTATTACATTTTTCTGAATATTGAAAACTGTATTTTCATCTCAGAATATGGGAGTATAAAGAAGAAAAATTATTATGCTTCTTTCACCCAGAAATATAAAACTTCTAAAGCATCTTGGTGAATGCACTTCTAGTATCATTTCTGTGCATTTGTAAACACCAAGAGAAAAACTGATGTGTGTTATAAAATAGTGATCATATGCATACTTTCTTGTGTGGGTATACATGAATATTTATCATCAATTCTCTCCCACAAGGCATCTGAGAAATGTCCAGATAAATATTTAATCATAATCATACAATCTCTAGTGAGTCTTTAAACATAAGCACAATCTTATTTTTCCTTCTTCTTACCATTTCAGTGTATGAGGGTCTATGTTCTGCTACCCATTATATGTTCCCATAGTTCAAATTACAAAACAGATTCATAGGAATTCAGAGATAAAGCAAGCAATATTCAGTTGTGATCTCCAGAAAACAATTCCACAGGACAGTCACAATGCCTTTTTTTTTTTTTTTTTTTTTACTATAAACTGCAATCTGTTGATAACATAAAACAACAAAGACTTACCAGACTAAAGAGAAAGAGAGGCTCACATTTTTCTTTGAATGACTGCAGAGTTACAATGTTGTCAGCTTCTGCCTGCAGAAATCAACATGTCAATCATATTCTATAATATGAAGGAAACTATGCTCAAGACATTTGTTACACTAAATCAAACATAGCAGAAATAGAGACAATATATTTACATTTGCAGCAGTAGTTTCTGGGTATGTAATCCTCATAATAAGGATCAAATAGCATGTACTGGAAACTCAAGGCCTGCCTGGACTTGTCACCTTCCCTTTCTTACACTAGCCCCACCCCTTATGGTCCCCAGCCTCAGCCACACTCATCTATTTGTCTTTCTGTTTTTCATTGCCTGGCTCTGCCATTCCTTTTCCAACCCAGCCTGAGTTCCTTCCTCCCAGAGGGCTCTCCTTCCCTCCTGCACAGTGCACTTGTCCAGGGTTCCCAGGACACCTGTTGTTTCTTTTGATGCCCTGCTAGGGGCATGTCAGCCGGTCTCATCTGCTTGGTTAGGAGAACAGCCCAGGGTACAGATGGAGTGTGTTCCGCTCCCTCTCTCCTGTCTCAGTCCTTCCTAGGCCTCAGTCTCAGCATAAATACCAAATGGAGCTCACAAATGCTTCTTGTAAGAGTTAGTAGTCAAATCTTGAAGCTTTAGGTTTTTGTTTAATGTTTGGAATTTTCTTAAAAATTTCTGACAACTAGGGGCCAGTAGATCGTGCCTGTAATCCTAGCTATGCAAGAGGTTAAGATCTGATGATCACAGTTCGAAGCCAGCCTGGGCATAGAAGTCCATGAGACTCTTATCTCCAATTAATCACCAGAAGTGGCACTGTGGCTCAAGCGGTAGAGCACTAGCCTTGAGCAAAAGGAGCTCAGGGTCAGTGCCCTGGCCCAGAGTTCAAGCCCCAGCACAGAAAAAGAAAATCTAACAGATTCCAGGTGGTCCTAATCTGATGACAAATAACCAGTTACTAAATAGCCGTGCCTTCATCCACATTAATAGCATTGCTGATGCAAACAGGAGAGCAGGTTAGGGTCTTATGTAAGCATGAATGGAATTCCAGCTGCTATAACAAACACACATAGTGACACACATTTCTCAGTCTCAGAGGCTGAAGTCAGAGATGGTCAGTGTGCTGGCATGGCCAGCTTCCCGGTGGACACCTTCCTGAGTAGACCCTTGCTTGGAAGAAATATCAAAACTTCCTCCTTTTTTCTTTTTCTTTTTTTGGTGCCAGTTTTGAGTGCTCAAGGCTAGGACTTTATCGCTTGAGTCATAGCTCTATTTCTAGCTTCTGGGGCGTTAATGGAGATAGGTCTCAGGGACCTTGCTGCAAGGGGTGGCTCTGAACCTTGATTCTCTGATTTCAGCCTCCTAAGTGGCTGGAAGGAACTAGTCTACAATCCCAAAGTATTAAGAGGTAAACATTTTATTCGCAAGTTGTCTGGGCATCATCATTATGATGTTTGTATTTTAACAAATGGAGCATTAGAGGTTAAATAATATAGTAAATGTCATAAGCAATATATATTGATTTTTGCACATACCCTTCATGCTATGCCATGTATATCCAGTTAATATATTCATATATTTATGTTCACATACACAGATCATATACACAGGGAGCCTTCCCTATTCCTGAGGTCTGGATCCACAGGTTCAGCCCAATGGAGAACAGAAAATACTAGAGAAATGTTTACTTCTATTCTGAACATGTATAGTTTTCTTTGACATTATTCTCTTTAAGAATGCAATGTAGCAACCAACTATTTACATTGCACTGCATTCAATTAGGCAGTACCAGGAACTTAGAGATGATGCCATACACAGGCTATTTGCAAACCTTACCTCATTTTACACTAGGAAAATCAGCCTTCAATCCACCCAGGTCTGCAAGGATCCACTGTAGCTATCTCTATTGTTTAATGCTATTCTTTCCAAATGGGGCATAGCAGAAAAATTTATAATGATGGTTTTCCACCCAGGGTGGTTTTTATGAGATAATCAATCATGCTTGTTCAAATTTAAATCTCCCTTTCAAAAAAGTCCTCAATTCTTTGACTAACTGCAGAAAAATAAATATCCAAAAAAGGGTGCTATGCTGTTGCTCCTATCAGAGGTTTTAGGGGAATTGGTTGGTTGTGAATGTACTATTGTTTGATGGTAAACACAATAGAAGATAATTCAGTGACACTGCACAAGTTGTGAAATTCAACACATAGTAAGTACAGTGCACAGGGCAGGTTTAGGGAAAAGCACAGTGGCTAACACTTCCCCACCGAGTGTGTGTGCACATATAAGTAGAACTAGTTCCCATGGAGCTAGCTGAGCAGTGCTGTCTGGTCCAGCCTGAGTCAATGGAAAGAAGAGTTCAAAAACCTGTGTGATCTCATAGCATCTCCATCAGAGCTGCTGAGCAGGCAAACCAGAGCCTGGCAAGCCTTATCATTTAAGAAAAAGGAATAGAGAGTCAAGGAAAGAGAATTGATGTCATGTTTACAAAGATTCAGTCACTCAGTCCCTGATGGAACAAGGTATGTATGCATCATAAACAGTGTCATTCAGATTCATAATATTAAATGTTTTTAGTTAAAGAAATATACAGTGAGCTTTTATTTCAGAAGATACTTCACTAAGGACAGACAACTTCACTGTGAGTAGCCAACTCTGAAAGGGAAAAATAGTAAGAAGGAGTTTCTAAGGCATTGTTAACTTTAAGTGAGCTCATTTATAAGTTTCTCAAAATTACCCTTAAGCCATTGTACAAAAAGGTTTCAAGGCAGCATGACAATTTTTGAGTAAAATAAGTCAACGTCACTCCTTTATTTTCCCCATCTCTCACAACCCTACCCAGCCCCTTCCATTTCTGGAGCTCCAATTTCACACATGCACATTGAATATTATGACTGCATGCACCTGCATTCATACCTCATCTACTTGTCCTGTCCCATCCCCTTGACTTCACCTCTTCCCTCCACAACACATGCTCCATCTTCCTGGTTTTTATTTTGTTAATTGTTCAAAGGTGTTACTCCATGAAATCCTCCCCTGCACAGACCCTACTTTAGTTGCCATGTTTGTGTATTGTACATGTGTATGACACTGTATAGGTTCATACACATACATATTTATATGTATGTGTGCTTTGTCTTTCTGAGTCTGACTTACTTCACTTAACAGAATTTTTTTTTCAGGTCCAACACAATTTTAAATTAAGGAAACTGAAGAAGGTGCCTGCAGGAATGCATAGAAAGTCAAAGACAAGTTGCGGTCAATGAGCAAACTCATTCCAAGACATACAGCAGGTGGGGCTGTGGAAGGCACCACCCAGGAGAGCTTCCAGTGGCTGATGGTCCTGATACACTAAGGCTTTTAGAGGTAAGGAGTTAAGGGCATACAAGTCGGTTATCTGTTTCTGAACATCAGGCCTAGTTGATGTCATTATGCTTCTGTCTAACAGAAATATGTGAAATATACATGTTCCTATGTTCCTATATATATCACATATGTATATATAGTGAATGCATATTTATACTATAACACACACATATACTTCAAAATTCTCTAGTAGCCAAATTTACAGAAAAGAAATAGATGAAAATAAGAATACATTTACCTTAACCTGATATGTCCAAATTATTATCACCTCAACATGTAATTGATGTCAAAATTATGAATGGCATCTCTCACATCCCCTTCCCCATATTAATTATTTAAATTTAGCGTGCATTTTCTATTTAGAACATATCTTAGTGACTTTTAATCATTTGTAATCAACTAGTACTGGGTCTCTAATAAAATGGATCATCAACAAGTAGATATACTTCAAGAAAAATGGGTGGAACTGGAGATTGTGTTAAATAAATGTTCAGAGAGACAAATGTCACGTGATTTCACTAATGAGCAAAAGCTAGACACCGCCCCCAAATATATGAAGAATATGCCATGATGTTTAAGGGAAATCTTTGGCAGTGGGAATCTAGCAGATGAGGAAATGGAGAAAGGAGAGGGCAGAGGGTAACAGAGTGAATGCTACACAAGTACATTACATACACATATATTAATGCAGACATCCATGCGTACATACATTAAAATGGCATATTATTGATTCCCAGATCTCATAGATCTAAATACATGGTAAAGCAGTCAAGTACTTCACACTGTCTATCTGGAAGAACAGACAGGTTGTTTCAATGAAGATATTAGAGGATAGGTAGAAAACCCTCACCACAACAAAATGCAGGATATCATCTTCGTTCAGCTCATTTTTCAATTTCCTGAATAAAGGCTGCATAGCTTTGCAAGGGCCACACCAGGCTTGGTAAACGTCAATCACTAGAAGATTTAAGAAAGAACAGCCAAAGGATACCCTTGTTGGCATAGCCCCGGGACTGGATCAGGAGCCAAGACACAGATGGAAGAGGAAAGGAGCTGGATCTGGCAGGGTTCCATGAGCATCCTAGGACAGACCCCAGGTGGCCACACTCCAGGGGATCCCCAGTACCTGTTAAACCTTTGTTCAGTAACATTTCATCCCATTGGCTCTGAGTGTTGATGACTGTCTGCAAGAAACCAATGCATTCTCAAAGCTCCTCCTGTACCTCTGTGCCAGATAAATCCTTCATGTGTGAAACTCACCTGGAGCTGGATTTCGCCTCGTTTTTTGCCTGCCATTGATGTACTTTTATGGGAATGAGGAAGGAAGCTGCAAGACATACGGAGGGAATTTATACAGTATTCTCATTATCCACTAGAACCTCGGATCAAATGACTGCCGATGCCCACATACTGGAGCTGATGTCCCAGATGGCCATGGCAAAGTGCTTACAACTGCCCCTCTCCCTCCTCCTCCCCACAATCCCAAAGCCAAGCAAAACAGGGTGGCTGTTAGGTTGGTTTAAAAATAGTCTGGTATGCTTTTCTGCTGTAATAAGGTTTTCTACATTTTTATTCACACAGAGATGAATCATCTACAAACAAGCACATTAGTCCCTCTCCATATCTGCCCACTTCAAGAAGTTATTTTTAGAGCGAAAGCAGAAGTGTTCTCTTTTTCAATTCTCTATATGGAAGAAAATAGATCATCAGAAAGTACATTGACTACGGGAAAATGGAGGGAAGTGGTGATCATCGAGTGAAACCACAGGTGCCCCAAAAGTGGATCGTGTTGTTTGTTACCAGGGGCCAGGGCGGACAGGGGTGTTACCAGGGGCCAGGGTGGCAGGATGTTACCAGGGGCCAGACACCTGGGTGGAACGACGGACTGGCCGCAGACCAGCCTACATCCCGCCCCAAACCGCGGATGCCAGGGAATACCTGAGCCTGGGAGAGGCCAAGGACGTTAACGGGCTCCCGGCCGAGCTCTGGGGCCATTGGACAAAGGGCTGGTACCCTGGCAGCTGGGCAGGGCCGAGGTGGAAGGCTGGCCAGGCTCCCGCGGCAGGCGCTTTCTTCCCCTGCTGGTCCAGGGGACCAGGGATGGCATCTCTCCCCAACGTTTCCTGCTCGCGCGCGCGAGCTCAGCTCGGGCCTGCAGGGGCTGTGCCCTCGAGGGGCTCGAGGCCCCTGGACTCACAGGGTAAGCCTGGGCGGTGACTCCTTTAGTCTCAGTCTCTTCTACGAGCAAGACTGACAGGCACAACTTCCCGTTTGCACAGTGTCAACCCTGCGCCCTCCCGTGGCTTGTCTCCTCTCAGCCCTGAGAAACACAGCCTGGAGTTCAGCACTGACTCCCTCCAGGCCCCCATTCTTGGCTTTCAGGCCTTCCTGAGTCTGGCCATGTTTTCACTAGGGTATAAAAATAAGATAAAAGGCGGCCTGGGAAGGTGGCTCAGTGGTAGAGTGCTCACCTCACCGTGCATGAGGCCCTGGGTTCGAGTCCTCAGCCCCACATAAGCAGAAAAAGCTGGAAGTGGTACTGTGGCTCAAGTGGTAGAGCGCCAGCCTTGAGCTGAAGAGCTGAGGGACAGCGCCCAGGCTCAGAGTTCAGGCCCCACGGCTGACAAAAAGAAAAAAAATAGCCATCCATCCTAGTCCTGTCTTCCCACTTCCCCGCACCCCTCCTCTTACTCCCCTTGCAGGGCCAGTTACTGGACTCTGACTCTCTTTTGGTGTGTGTGGCAGGAGGGGGTGGAAGAGAGAGGGTCAGTCCTGAGGCTTGAACCCAGAGCCTGGGTGATAACCCTGAGTTATTTTGCTTTGCCCAAAACTAGCACTCTACTACTTTGAGCGTGTATTCGAGTTTCTGGGGATTAATTGGAGATAAGAGTCTCAAGGACTTTTCCTGCCCCATTTATGGACTTTACTGCACTGGCTGGCTGTGTGTGAATCATGGTACTCAGCCTCCTGAGTAGTTATGATTATAGGTGTGAGCCACTATCAGCTGCTTTCCTCTTTCTGTAATTAGTTTGGGTTTTAGACTTCGAAATACATCGTCCAAGTGGCACAGAGTTCCTGCACATGTTTGCCTCTGCTTCCCCTAAAGTGTCCTAATCATAACCACATGGGTCATGATGGAAAACTTCATTGACACTATAATTAGCTATGCTGTAGACCTTACACAAATCTAGAGTGCTCTCTATTTGGACCAGGATCCAGCTAGGAACCCACACTTGCTTCCTCCTCCAATCAGGGAAGCACTTTGGCTTTACAAATCTTGTCCACAGTATCCTATTGCACTGGAGTTGTGGCTCAAAAATAAGTAAAGCTACTGTCCAACCTTGAATGACAAAATTAGTTGCAATCTCTCTCATATTTTTACACTTTTCTGTATTTTTCATCTTTTGTGAGATTTTATTTATTCTTAACCAGCAATAAAATTCTTATCTACAGAACACTTTTAAATCCACTTTCCTTGATTATTCTTTTGGTTGTGAGGCTTGAACTAAGGGCTTGGGCACGATCCCTGAGTTTTATTTTGTTTTGTTTTCTCCTTAAGGCTAGCACTCTACCACTTCGAACCACAGCTCCACTCTTGGTCTTTAGGTGATTTAATTGGAGATGAGTCTCATGGACTTTCACTAGGCCACAAACTGGCTCCATCCTAAGTACCCAAAATGCCCTAGCTTTAAATGTCCCAATTTGGATGCTAACTGCAAGTTAATGTCATAACAAAAATTTCTCAAAAGTTCATGGGTTCTATTTTTAAAAGGCCTCAATATCTTTTTATTATTATTATTGTGAAAATACCGTACAGAGGGGTTACAATTACATGGGCAAGATAATGAGTACATTTCTTATCAAGTATTGTTGCCTCCTCCTTTGTTTCCCCTTCCCATCCCTTCCCAACTACCCACCCTCCTCCCCCCTCCTGCCAAAGTTGTAAAGTTCATTGTACATCTCATTGCTGCAATAGGTCCACCTGTATCCCTATTTAAACAATTGTTTTTTCCTTCCACCTCCACAAATTATATCAACATTATATCAACATACAGTGAAAACAGGTGTTATACTGTGGGGGAGGGACATACAAAACAACAAAGAAATCATCTTATAGATATGTTAGAAACAATAGTAAGAAAGAAAAAAACATTTGAATCCTTATCTTGAGATTTATTTCGCCTAACATCAACTTATCTGACCATTTCTGCTTGTCTCAGACAAATACTAGTTATTGCAAATAAGAGAAACCATGGGACCTATGTTTATTTGGACCTGGCTTACTTCACTTAATATATTTTTTTCCAAGCCTTTCCATTTTGTAACAAATGGGGCAATGTCATTCTTTCTGATGGAGGCATAGAATTCCATTGTATATATATACCACATTTTCTTGATCCGTTCATCTACTGGGGGGCATCTGGGTTGGTTCCATAGCTTAGCTATGGTAAATAATGCTGCAATAAACATGGTTGTGCTGGTAACTTTAGTATGTATGGCCTTTTAGTGATCATTTGGGTAAATGCCCAGAAGTGGGATTGCTGGGTCATAGGGGAGATCTATGTGGAGTCTTTTGAGGAACCTCCATACAGCTTTCCAAAGTGTTTGAACAAGTTTACATTCCCACCAACAATGCAGTAGGGTTCCCTTCTGTCCACATCCCCTCCAGCATCTGTTGTTATTAGAGTTCTTGATTATAGCCATTCTAACTGGAGTGAGGTGGTATCTCAATGTTGTTTTGATTTGCATTTCTTTTATGGCTAGGGAGGTTGAGCATTTCTTCATGTGTCTATTGGCCACCCTTCTTTCCTCTTCAGAGAAGTTTCTCTTTAAGTCTTTAGCCCATTTATTTATTGGGCAGTTGTTTCTTTGAGGATTTGTTGTTGGGGGATTTAATTTTTTGAGTTCCAAGTATATTTTAGATATGAGACCCTTGTCTGTTGTATGGCTAGTGAAGATCTTCTCCCAATCCGTGGGCTTTCTATTGATCTTGCTAGCTATGTCCTTTGCCATGCAGAAGCTCTGCAATTGTATGCAATCCCATTTGTCCAAACTTTCTTTGATTTGTTGTGTTTCTGGGTTTCTATTAAGAAAATTTTGGCCTGTGCCAAGGAGATCTAGGGTTTGTCCTATTCTATCCTGTAATGTTTTCAGAGTGTCTGCTTTGACTCTGAGGTCTTTGATCTATTTGGAGTTGATTCTGGTGCAGGGTGATATATAAGGATCTAGCTTTAGTTTTCTACAAGTAGTTAACCAATTTTGCCAGCACCATTTACTGAAGAGGCTGTCTTTCTTCCTTCTACTTTTTAGCTCCCTTATCAGAGATTAGGTGGCTGTAGGTCTGTGGGTTCATTTCTGGGTTTTCAATTCTATTCCATTGGTCCTGAGGTCTGTTCTTGTGCCAGTACCAAGCTGTTTTGATTACTATGGCTTTGTAGTAGAGTTTGAAATTTGGTATTGATATTTCTCCAGCACTGTTCTTTCTGTTAAGGATCATTTTTGCTATTGGGTTTTTTTATTGTTCCATATGAATTTTTGGATTACCTCTTTGATTTCCTTGAAGAATGAGGCTGGAATATTGATAGGTATCGCATTGAATTTGTAGATAGCCTTGGGAAGTATTGTCATTTTTATGATGTTGATCCTTCCAATCCAGGAGCATGGAGTTTTTTTTTCCAGTTTCTAAGTTCTGTTTTGATTTCCTTTTTCAGGTTTTTAAAGTTTTCATCATAGAGGTCCTTCCCTTCTTTGGTTAATTCCTAGGTATTTTATTTTTTGTGGGGCTATTACAAATGGAGTTGCTTTCCTAATTTCAGCCATGCTTTTCTCATTGTTAGCATACAAAAAAGCCATTGATTTTTTGAGAGTTAATTTTATACTCTGCTACTTTGCCAAAGTTTTGAATCAGCTTGAGTAATTTGGGAGTGGAGTCTGGGATTCTTTAAATACAAGATCATGACATCTGCAAAGAGGGAGAATTTTACTTCTTCTTTCCCTATTTGGATCCCCTTTGTGTTTGCATCTTGTCTTATTGCTGTAGCTAGGCATTCTAATATTAGATTGAAGAGCAGTGGAGAGAGTGGACACCCTTTGGGTGCAATTTCTTGATAAGGCCTCAATTTCTAAAATGCTAAAATTCTTAAGAGCTCTGAGAATTTTCTCTCTTCCTAGTGTTATATAATTTATACAGTGACACCTAAACCCAGATGCTTCATTTTAATATATTCTTCCTGAATCACCTGCATGAATTTTTCATTCATAAAATTGATCCCTGACATAGTTCTATTCTATTTGAATTTGATCCAGAAAAAACCCATCTTCTCAGGCCTGCCTGCAGGGGGCAGTGTGCACTGCTATCTTTGAAGTTGAGAAGTAAGGCTGAAAGCATTCTAGCATCTCTGATCACTTCAGGCCTCCAAGCCTTCCTGCCCCAGCTCCTTACAAGCATCGCACTCAGAACCACTGATGACAGAAACAGCTCTGAGCTTTTTCTTGCACAGGTCAGTATTGTTGTTCCTGTTGTTCATTATCTTAAACCTCATAACAAGATGTCACAGGTGGGTGAAATATGAATGAAGTGCTCAGATTTGTAACTATATAAGTGATCCTAAACCCACTTGTTCCCTGGTTTGTTTGCTAATTTGTTTGTTTATAGGAGGGCTAGTTATGTTTTTAGATAGAGTCTTGTGTTTTCTCCCAGGGCTACCCTTGGACAGTGATCCTCCTATCTGTGCTTCCTCAGTAGGTTGGATGACACAACCACAGGCAATAGAAGAACAACTTGCTTAGTCCACAGAAGAAGAAAGGAAGTCATGTTGGTATATGTTAAATTCTTGTAGTTCCCCACCTGCTAAAATGATAAAATAACACAGTTAACAATGTGTCTCAAGACATTAAATATACATATGGAAAAGAGGAGAGCAATCAATGAGAGAAAGGAACCAAATGAGATGGTGGGCTTTTTGTAGTTTACCACCTTGGGAGAGTTCAAAGTTCACAGCCTCAGGAGAGAAACCTAGGTGGAACCAGAAAGGAAGTGTGTGTGGTGCACACCTGCTAAACATTCAGAGTCTGAAATGAGTCCAGCTTTTAATTCTGACCTGGAAGGTTCTGATGCCCTCACATAGAATGGAGCACCGTCTATCCTTTGGACTTGAGAGCCT